GTTTACCACTCGACGTATCACTACGGCGAAGTTAGCCGTAGTTCCTCGACGAGTACCCTGTCTTAGTGAGACAACGACGCCCCACTACGACGTAGTTAGCCGAGGTTTGTCGACCGTCGGTCAGTAGAGAAGAAGAAACGACGATTGTGACACCATCCCCTTGATCCTTCTAGTCCACCACCCCTTCCTAGTACCTTTGTCCCTGCAGCCTCAGATCACATCAACAAACTCCGTGATCTTCACAATGAACTCATCAACAACATCAAGAAGGCGCAGTTATCTCATTCCAAGTTCTATGATCGTAAGATCAAAGAAATCACTCAAGAAGGTGAACCTATCTTCAAAGTTGGAGATATGGTGTTCCTTAATCGACAAAATATCAAAACCTCAAGGCCATCAATCAAGCTTGATCAACGCATGCTTGGACCATTCAAGATCATTGAAGCCACACCTTCACCTCTGGCATTCAAACTCGACCTTCCTCCTAGTATGAACATTCACCCTGTTTTCCATGTTAACCTCTTAGAGCCAGTGCGCTCAGGTCTTCCAAGTCAACCTCAAGATCCACCACCAAGGATTGAAGTTGAAGGAGAACAAGAATACATCATTGATAGAATTCTGGATTCTCGCATCAGTAATGATGGAGGATATGATTACTTAGTACATTGGAGAGATTACTCCAGTGCTCATGACTCATGGGAACCTTGGGAAGAAATTCACAACACTACAGCTTTTAGAGCCTTCCGTCATCAACATCTCAAAGATCCTAGTCAGCACTTCCCGTCCTTGACATCAAATCAGTCAACTCCTCGTACAAAACAACCTTCACAACAAAACACTCCACAAACTTTCAAAAGACCTCAGCGTAGGTCATCCCGGCTCAGAGGACTTCGCCCTTAGAGGGGGAGCTCCTGTCATGAATCACAAGTATCAGTTTCCGCATGTTTTAGTTCTGCTCTGATGCCTTTGAGGCAAAAGACCTGAACCTTTAGTTAGTTATGTTATTCTCAGTTAGTATGCCTGGTATGGCATTAGACCCAAGACTTTAGTTTAGTTAGATTTTAGGCAAACGTATGGTTTACGTCGTCATGCGTACTTCTGCGTGCAGTCAACAGCGTATTATATGCAGCACGGCGAGAACAGGGCGCAGTCAGTTGCTGTGAGTTAGAAAACAGTAGGGAAGGCGAGGATTACAACGGTTTCCTACGCAGGACGACTCCACCTGGTAGAACACCTGTTTTATAGATATAAACCCCTCATAGTTTTACATACTTCTTCTTTAGTTCTTGATCAAAAGTCATTTCCATTGCCACCCTTTTTGGAGTCCAGTCCAGTCCAGTCCAGTTCCTCTAACCTTGTAAGACAAGCCAGAGACATTCCTTGGGTCACAGTCCCATTCCTTGTTGGACTCAGTCTTGTTATCTTAAGTATATTCCTTGTCACTCCTAGTCCTTGTCCCCTTGTCCTTTGTCCTCTGTCCCAGGGTGGGCAGTATCCTTGACACTTCTGCTCCCATTGTCCCTACCTAGCCTAACTCCGTCTAACTTCGCCGCACTTCTGCTCCCATTGTCCCTACTTAGCCTAACTCCGTCTAACTTCGCCGTACTTGGTCTCAGATGTCCTGAGTTACATGTAGAGTAAAGAGGTTAAGGCGTGATGGGGGTTTTGATGGTCAAAGGAGGGTCATTGTTGGTGGAATAATCGAGGTGTCACGACATAGTTCGTGACACTGTGCTGCATCAAAGTGGCATGACCATCTGGTTCATGACCAGTGGAAGATTGTCATGAAGTAACAAGTCAGTTTGGTTAGTGACAAGTCAGATTGGTTAGTGACAAGTCAGTTTGTTTAGAGTTGTGTTTGGGTTGGGCATCCAACCAGCGACCGGCGTTTTGCAGTAACCGCTGGTTAATAGGCCTTCTGGCACAGTGGTTTAGGCCGCTGTCTCTGAAGAGCACTGTTATGTCGTGCCAATGCTGGTTAGTTGGTCTCGTGACAAACATTTCAGCTACACCATTCCACACCACTCCTAGAGAAAGATACTTTCAGAGCTAGTTGCATGTCCCCACACATATGAAGTAGAGAAATGACATGCATGGAGTGCTTCCTACCTTCTTGAAGTTTGCATCTCTGAAGACGCATAGGGCTTTTGATCTTCATGCTTCCTGAGTCAGAAGTGTCATGCATGATGGGGTCAGGTTGCTAGAGTATGATCAGGCATCAAGAAGTGTCATGTGAAGTGTCATGTGTGGTGAGGGTGATTTCTTCCGTGTGTCATGTCTTCATTCTGTCACAGGGAGAATTCGGTGCAGCTGTGAAGTGTCACGGCTTTGGTCCGTCACCTAACATATGCATTACACCTAGACTTCTACAGAGTTCCATTGAGTTCAACCCAACCCGCAGCTTAGTGCTTGTGTTTCCAGTACTGTTACACAAACCCAGTTGGAAAATCTCAAAAGAGGAAAACCCGTCCCTACCTCATGCAGCTATTTCCTGTCTGTACTGACCCGTTTCCACCCAGTTCCATTGAGCTTGATGTCCTTCCATGGTGGTTGTTACCCCGTAACACTATCCCTTGGGGATTAGACCCCGCCTGCGACACTTCTGTCTAATACTACCAAGTTAGATGTCCTTCCCTGATGGTTGTTACCTCGTAACACTATGTGACACAGTGTGTCATGACCCTACTCATCATGACTTCCCCATCCAAGGGTCCGGGCCATTCCTCAGAGAGAAAGGTTCTCAGTGAAGTCTCACAGAAGTCTCGCAGAAGAGAATAGAGGTTTACGCCTCGATTTCATTCAAGATATCACGTTTCAGTTCAAGAATGACGTAACTGAACTTCTGGTGAAGACTTAGGTGAGATTCCCAATGGGAATCTCTTCAACGATAACCTCGCTCTGCAGGATATATAAACCCCCCTGTTGGCCCCATGGATCCTTTTTCCCAAGGATCAAAATATCTTTTGCATTTCATATTTATCAGACCTCTTCGGGAGCACTTCTTACAGAAGTGTCATCCTTGTTTGATACATACTAGCTTGACCACTCGATCCTTCCAAGCTATCCTATCCTTCTTGACTTATACTTTCTTGACTTGACTATCATCTGATCACTTCACAGTACCGCGGACCATCTTCATTCGTCTTGGTCCAAGACCCTCTAAACCTTTATCTTCCACTCCGTCTTTGTTCTTCAGGTCTCACAAGGACGGGTCGCAACACAGTGCCTGTGAAGCTCTCTCTCCTCGGATCCCAACTATACTGGGGCAGCTTGTGATATTTTGCCTTCTTGGAATAAAAGGAATTTGAGGACTCTGTCCAATAAATAGTGTTGCATCCTGCAGCTGACAGGAGGGCCAGAGTACCCATCATGTTGTCATGGCCTATAGTTTTATCTTCTGCACACATCTGATGTACTGAAGGTGCACAGTTCTTGATGTTTTTTCTCCATTGTGACAAGTGGGGTGACATATACTGTGGTAGAGCCAAGTTCCTGCCAATCAGAAGGCAGGGTTGTGACACTCTTGGAGGTGAGTGTCTTACGCTGCAGAAAATGTGTAACTGCTTTCTCTAGCTCACTCAAGGTTACTCCACAAACATGTGAATGCCTGTGAGTCCGACTTGTGGCTGGGGTCAGCGCAGGATTGATCAAGGCCTCAATATTGTTTCCCAATGACTCATAGGTACCCCTGGGCAATGCGCCGTACATCTTTATCAATCTTCTCATCCTTGTTGGAGTGTGAGCATACAGTGTTTGGGTATCATCTTCACGGACTACCACAAATTGCACTTGACCACCAGGGATTTTGTGGCCTGTTTGCAGATCTCGATATTCCTCATTGAGTGCTTGACTTCCGCTGTAGTTCCGAGGTCTTGTCAAGCCACTCATTCTAGTCTTCCAGCCTGCAGCTGCCATTCCTTGAGTGCCGTTTTTCAAAGTGCCACTGGACAAGGCCTTACGCACATCAGCTTCTTCATAGAGAAGCACATTGTCAGGAATTGTTGCATCCATCGAATTCTGTGCCATTGTGGTATGTCTTACAACGTAGCCGTCTACTGGGAATGAGAGTGATGTGTCAACAACTGTACTCCCCCCTCGCCGATTATATCCTCCACGCTCAACCTACAGGGAGGAGAGACGCTTGTCCAAATACGACTACCTATGTGTGAAGAAGAATGGATCGTATTAGCGCGTACCGCCTCTCGGACAAAATCGCGGGATACTGGAAGATCCACCCTCGGACGGGATCGTGGGATGTAAGAAGGCGTGCGATTTGTTTTCCCATGTCACGCCTATTGCACAATACGGAGGGGGACGGGGGGGAGGGGGGGATATCAACTATCTCACCACGTCATCTTGCCTCTGACCTTGTCCGGACGGACCTCGCCGTCAACATTTCTATGATCCGGATAATGAAAGAGAAAAACGAGTATTTTTAGGTTTCCCACCAGGCTGCCGTTCTTTTTATTCGAACCAATGAACCAGTGCGAGAACGGTGCAGGTGAGAAATGTCCAATGATCATGGGGAGAGATCGTACGTCATGAGAAGGGGTCCAAGAAGCTTGACATAGTGAGTTCGATAATTTAATCCGGTGTTCGCGCCCGTCAGACGTAGTAGAGGTTCCACTTTGTGTCAGCCGCGATGACGAGCGAGAGATGGGGTGTCATGGGAAATGCATTCATCCGCAGGGGAATTGGTCGGCACAGATCTTCTTTAGGCATGAAAGAAGCTGGCATTCAGCGTCTTCCGACCGATGAGAGTGGGTGATATGAGCTCACAACATACATAGGATGAGCGCAAATCGCACACCCCACGTTTATCCTTCATGTGCTCCGCATTCTCTCATCTTCATCTTCGTCGTCGTCCTCCAGAGCGAATACCGTTCTCCCATGTCCATCCTCTTCTCCTTGCCTCCAATCCTCTTCCCCGTCCATGACTCTCGACTTTCCCTTTCCTTTCCCCAACCCCCCTGCGGCTTTCCGGCGTCTATCATTCAACTCATACGACTCCGCTTGCTCCACAGCTTCTAGTTCGATCCTTTCTGCTCCTAATGGGACTCGTTCGGCCGCAGAGGCATCTTCGACATCGCGTAGATTAACACCGCCGAGACGGTGTCGTCTGATCCGCCCGATACGACGGAAGTAGAGGTAAGCGCCGACTATACCCGCGAGAACGAGGAGGATGAGGAGGGCAGAACCGGCATTGTACCACGCTATGAAGTTAGCTCATGGTTCTCGTAGGCTATATCCTATCCTATCCTTGCATAGCATTGAGGATTGATAGGCGATGGCGGGAAAAAGCAAACAACAAGGTGCGCACCTTCCCAAGGGGTTGAACCTCCTTTCAACAAAGCCAAACCAGCGGCTGTGCTAGATGATACGCCGACGACAACTCTATCTGCATCGCCTATCCGACTGGGCGATGAAGCCACGGAGCCTGGTAAGAGTGATAGATCCACATCCATGAACCGAAGGATCATGTCGTCTGTTACGGCCGGAACATCGAATCCGACCATATGGGAAGCGTCGTAAATCTCACTCAATCAGCATGGGAGAATTCGGAAAGATAGATCACTGACTTTGGCGTAAGACATGTTCCGAGCGGTTTGCCATGCTCCGACTTTGGTGTCGTTGAAATACCATCCCTCAGCCGGAACATCCTGACAATGAGCAACCGTACATCGACGAAAGTACTACAGGGCTGCGGGAAGGAGTACGAGAAGAAATCTGCTCACTTCGAAGCCGGTAGCTCCGTTCCATGTCATATGCTCCAACATCCTCTCTATACCCTTGTAATTACATATCAGGTCCTCTGCGCCCGCAAACATGAGTACATGTACTCCTTTCTCCAAGATTCCGGGAATGAGGTGGACGGCCGCTGGTGAGTTTGGCATCGTGAGCTCGGAAGACACGCGATTACTGCATTCCACCCAAGCGGTATCTTTGATGGTCGCGTGCAAGGCAGAAATGACGTCGGTTCGCTGACAGTCAGTCATATTTACTATAACTCAAAGTGCGACCGAACCCGTAAAAAGTCGTAGACATCTGGCAGATCCGGTGGCCAATTCATCCCGCATGCAGGCCAGTCATCCACTAATCGAACGTCGTACACATTCATACATTGCTTTTTACCGTTCAGTTCCTGCTGAAAGGGCTCGGTTACCATCTCCATGACCTGACCACAGTTGTCGATGTTGACTGGAGTGGTCGCGTCATCAGGGTATTTGTCAATACCGGTTTGACATCGTTCCATCGCCTTTTCGAGAGCATCTGCTTCCTGCCAAGTCAGCAGGATACTCGAGTGCATGTTTTTCTGGCGATGCGAAGTCGAAGACATCAGGGCAACTGGTTGGAACACCAGACGATCAATTTATGGAACAGAACTCACAGCTGAACCCGGTTTGATCAAATCCTTCTCGTAAGCGAAATCGACATATCCCTGATACTGTTGCTTGGGATCTATCCACCCATTTCCTATAGCAATCCCCTTTAAGTCAAATCCTGGCAGAGTAGATGTCTTTAGTAGAGCGTCCGCTGGAGAGTCAGCCTTGTGATCTCTGGTGTACGGGAAAACTCACCAAAATAAGGTATATATTGACCTGCAAAGGATTCACCTGCAAGATACGTCTACTACGTCAGTCCCAAATATGATTGAACACTCTGGACAGGGCTTACATCTTGTCCTTTTAAATCGGGAAAAACATGGTACAGGTTGTGCATGAATTGTATGAGGTGCGCACTAGCCTGATCAAGTTCATGAAGGTAGTTATTGGTGGGTACGAAGGAGTAGCCAGTGCCTGGCGGTTGATCGACTGCCTGTTAGTCGCACAGACTCTGTGTATGGCAAAGCTCGCATTGAGTCGATGTCTCATTTCATCCAGTAAATCAGGCGGCCAGGCGGGAGTTGGAGAGAGAGATGACTCTCACTTCGTCCTATATGGAACACTATTCGGAAGGGACGTCACACCAAAGCACCCTCACATATGCACACATGACATAGAGCGTGAGGTAAAACTCACCGAAGACGACAGTTGCGAACTCTTCCCACCCCGCCTCCACAAGCCGCAGTTCCACCTTTCCAGAAGTGGTCTGAGATGCGGGAATCGTTCGAAATGGTCCAACTTCCATGAGCGAGCCATCGAACGAAGAGCATCCTGGGCCGCCCTGCATGGTTAGCTCACGAGCAACCTCGGTTTGAGGATTTACATTGAACCAGAATATGACCCGTTGTCTACCGGCCGACCGACGTGCACGGATCATCATGAAGCTGTCAGGTCAGCAAGTCACCTAACCTCGGCCGGGACCTCATCAGTCTTTCCGAACCGGGACCTGATGGCGGAGATAGTGGAGGAAAGAGAAGCATTGCTCGGAGCGAGCTTGGCATAAGCCCGGACGAAGAATGCAGGAAGCCACAGGGGGCTAGTCATTCAATGACCATACCGATGGGGAAAATGTAGCGTCATAAGATTGGAGCAAAGATGAAAATGGGAGAGTGGACCCACAAGATCTGCGCTTCCTTTCCCGTATCTCCTTCCCCACCACCCTTGCCTTCTCCGGGGTACGACGGCAGTTCTCCTGCGTAGACATTAAGCGGGTGTCTGCGTTGGTCAACTGAAAAGCAGAAAAGATGACAGGATGAATCACGTGGGATGAAAAGCAAGGTCTGGTATACCTGGAAGAGAAGGGACGAAGAGATCGGCAGCTGTAGGGAGGGCTGTGTGTGAGCTGTGAGGCCTGTATTTGACGTCGTCCATTCCGGGCTAACTTCAATATTCCCACCTCATCGATGGTGATAACGCAGTCCAGACCCGCTATTCCATGGTGCCTATATGAGAGGAGCTATTTGCTCGCCGATGACCGTTTATCTGAGAGGCAGGCACGAGACTAGCTTTTGTCTGTGTGGGCAAGTAAGAAGAGATAATCAAACTGGTGAACGACCACTTCCGCACTGTTTCCAGAAAGGAGAAGGAGTCGAGGAATAGCCTCATTCCGTCGAGTCCCAAACAGCAGGGTAGAAGATATGAGATAACGATCCATTGCAAACGGTCCCCCTATACTCAGCTAAGGGACGGAGAAAGACTTACTGATCACCTGACGTTCCTGTCTGGCCAGTCTAGAAGAAGACGCCTCTTGCTCTTTGACGAGATTAGGATATGTAACATTGTGTATCGCCGGAAGCTGTACTCTTGCTCTTGATACCAAAGTCGAAGAGTCCATGATGAATTGCTTTGACTGCCAGCAGTCTACTCTAGTACTCTAGGCGCGCTAGGCAGTTTAGAACATGTGTCGTGGAGGAGGAGTGAGACATCGAGAGAGAGAGGCGGACGTGATCTACACCACGTGGCTTGGGTCTCCTGCTGGTAGGAAATTGGTTCCGTCGAAACTGTTCTCCACCGTCCACCAGCACCAGGAAGTCGACAGGGGAACTCTCGAAAGATCTCCAAATTCTCAGCGATGAGCCTCATGTCGTATGAGCATGGATGTATATGACGACGATGAGTGTACATGAGAAAGTTTGAGTGAGACAAACTGACAGCAGTGAAGACGAACACAAACATCGTTGCATATCATCCTACGACAAAAAAAAACCAAATGTATCAAGCCGCCAGCACCCCGTCACTCATTGAAAAGAAGAGACTAGGTTTCCTAATGGGCCCGAGGCATTAATCCGTTCGTCTAGTGTTGAATACCCTCTCAGTAGCACCGTCCCGGAGTGGTTAACGAACCGGTCGGCATGGCAGTGAGGCCATAGCTTTTGATGAGGAAGAGGTGGGGAGAAAGAGGTTTATATATCCTCTGTAGATCACGTGATTTTAAAACGCAAGCGGGGCTCGCCGTTTGTGGGGCTCCACCTCTCAACCTGGTGAACTTTTGACTGCCCCTTCCTACTCTACTCTGGCCATTCATCCTGTGATTCTGCCATTCATCCTGTGATTCTGCCATTCATCCTGTGATTCTGTGATCAATTTGCGACCGGACTGAAGACATTGAGTGAAAGGGTTGATCATGACTCACAGATCTCGGAATGGTGGACCACCCAAAACACATAGAAAGAAAAACCAAAATGGACCTAAACGTAAACTTCATCATCCTCCTTCTCAACCTACCTCTCAACCCGACCTCTCCGACTCTCCATCTGACAATTCCGAATTCCCTCCACTTCCAATCAAACAATTCGACAGTCCGACAGAATCAGACTTGCTCGTTGTGGTACATCGAGCACTGAGGCAAACTCTGGACAACCCAACATTTTCAACTAGCGTGCAAACTGTCAAAGCGCTGTTATACAACAGAAAATGGCTAGAGGTATTCACCAATCCTGTCTTGCTGGAAGTATATGTGGGAAGATGGGTACCTAGTAGAGGGGTTTGTTATAGGGAGTTGATGATACGTCTTGGAGCTATTAGAGGGCTGTTCAGACCCAGTTTGCCTTCAAGACATGACGAGGAGGAGGAGATTGATGACCGTCTGATGAAGTCGAGATCTCAGAAGGAGGGAATGGACAATGAGGGTCAAAAGGAGGAAAATGAGGTATTCAGATTGCAAAAGGGGATCAAAGATGGGAGTGGGGGTAATAAAGAGGAGATCATTGATATTATTTCGTTAGGCGGAGGAGCAGGATCAGAATTATTAGCCATTTCTTCCCTTATCGCATCTATCACCAACCACTCTCATTCGTCCTCTCACTCAATCGACAACACACAATCATTATCATCCACTTCAAATTCCCTTCCTCTCGCGACACAAAAGACTCAGAACTCCCCTTCTGAACAGGGACTTCAGGATAGACCGACCGGACTAAAGTATCGTTGGACGGCGGTGGACATCGGTCCATGGGGTCCGATACTGGGAAAGCTATTTGAGAGCATACAAAGAGAATGGGATATTCCCTTAGTGATGGAATACATCGAAGGAGATCTTCTCTCCTCAACGGATCTAAAACCTGATAAAGATCTTAGCTCAGAACATTCAAGTCCTCGGTCAATCAAACAGTCACCTTCAACTTCTCAGGGTGATATACATAACCCACACCCCATTGTCACGGAACTATCATCTGCTTCCAATTCAATCAACACGTCATCTCTAATATCTCCCCATCAGCCCTCACAGGAAGATCCTCGCCCATCTGATCTAGACGACAAATCCTCGATTGGATCAGATAACAACCGAGACAAATATCATCTCCCAACTCTGCTCCGTCAGAAAAGACCTAAACTCATTACTCTTCTTTTCACACTTTCCGAACTTCTTGCTCAATCACGTTCCCAAACCATCCGACTGCTCCGTGATCTTAGCGATGTACCACCAGGGACGTTATTATTAGTGGTCGATTCCGCGTCGGATATTTCCGATGTCAGTCTAGGGGAAGAAGGACGAAAATGGCCTAGTTGGATGGTTTTGGATGCTGTGATGTTGGGTCCCAGTAAAGAGACGGACCAAAGACGACAAAATACCACAGAGGGACACAATGGAAGGCGGGATGTCGGACAACCAGAAAGAGGTGAAGGGAATCAGAAAGATGGTGGAGAAGAACTGGAGCAGGAGACAAGAGGGACGAAAAGCCAGGAGAAGGTCGAAGGAGCAGTAGAGGAAGAGGAAGGATTGGGAATAACAAATGGAGCGGGAAAGGAAAAGAGAAGCAAGAGAGAACAAGGGGAATGGACATTGGTAAGGAGTGAAGATAGCAGATGGTATCGTCTATCAGAAGGATTAGGTTCAGGATGGCCTACAAAGTTGGAAAATACAAGGTATTGGTATCGACTTTATCGACGCTCGTGATCTTAAATGCATACATTTTTTTACAAGAAGTTGAATGTGGAAATGAATTGCGGTAATAGTGTCACAGTTGAACTGCCTCGTCTCTCTTTTCTTTCTCTCCTCTCCTCTTCCCTCTTCCGTCATTCTTCTCACTAGATACTTGCTCATCGCTTCCTGACTTGTAAATGTCCGCTGTAACGTGCGCCCCAAAATTCCATTAGAGTAACATGTTGAACGTTGCCCTTTACTGTGCTCAAAACTCGTGCCAATATCGTCCTCAATTCGTAGATCGTTTCCAAGCACCATGAAGGGTAGATGGAAAATTAATGTACCTGACAGCTACTCGGACTGATCTGTATCTGTTGGGTCGGTAGTAGTTGGCAATCTAGATGAAGGAGATACGATACTGAGAGACGCAGGATTTGATAGAGGTGAGGGAATCAATGGTTTTCTTGGTTCAGGTGAGGAGACGGTTGTGGTGGGTGATGGAGTTGACGAGGAGGTACCTCTTGACAATTTATCGAAAAGCTAACTCGTCAGCTGAGGTCGATTTTTCCGATCTTTCGTGTCTCCGTCATTGGATCAAAAAGGAGGCGAATTGGTTGGGAGAATCATGAACCATGTATCCTTCGATTGCCGTAGCGACGTAGCGACAGAATGTCTTGAGCCTGGAGAGGGTCCTTCTGGGAGATATCAAGGAGTGAACTGTGTATCGGAGACACAAGGGAACAGTAATGACGAACGGAATTGAGAAGTGCGGAAATAGAAGCACGCTTTGTCACTCACAGAGACAAACTCCTCCACCCCATGCAGCCCGCTCAAAGCCCAACGATCCTCAAAGACGTAGAAAGGGACACCAGTCACACCTAAGCGTCTAGCTGTCACATACGCCCTTCTTACTTGAGCGTCACACTCATCCCTCTCCATCCAAAGCATCGCTTTCGTGATAGTCGGAAATAAACCATGCTCGACGGCTGCATCGGCAATGAGGGCGCGATCGCTAGGATGTCGGGCGTCTACGTGAATAGCGTGAAAGAGTTGTAAAGCGATAGGGAGTTGTGTTTCGGGAGCGATGAAGAGTGCATGAGTGAGAATGCGGTTGAACAAATGAGGAGAGGAGATGAGGCCCCCGGAGTTGCTAAGGGTGAGCTGAACCCTGATCTTTTTCATTTGCCCAAGTTCTGGTGAGAATTTGTGAGGGTATATCCCCGAGTGAAGAATAGTGAATGCGAAGGGGCGAGGTTATGCTAGAGCGACAGGGAAAAGAGTTGAGACCCGAACTCACGCATCCACCCCGATAGCGGCAAACTTCTCCATGAAATTCTTCTCCGCCAGTGCCGCCCTCTCGAGTCCAAGACGTTGTTGTCTGTACTCTGCTCTTGGTAGGGGTCGTTCTGTCAAGTTTTCGTCAAGGTTGTAAGGAAGTAGTCGAATGATAGGTTCGAAGTTTGCATTAGGTTGAGAGGTGTGATATTTCTCAATGGCTGATATCAGTTCATTGGCTCTTCCATATCTTTTCCTTCTCCATTCGCTCTCTGTGATCTGCAGACCGGTGGAGATATGATTAGGTAGCTCATGAAACATGCGACTCCAGCCATATCAGCGACTCGTGAGATAGAGGAATAAGTTGGGAAGGAGAAGTATGAAGACTCACCGGATAAGAGATGTAAGACGCCGAGGTAGCTGAAAGGGCAATTTATGTCAATCTTTTCATTAGCTTTTTCCTCCTCGTGTCTGTAGACAAAAGAACACTCACAGTGACATCTATCTTCACAGTCGGTATCATCAGATCTGTGCGATAGATATTTCTCGTCCGCATATTTGACTTCAAAAGATCTTTTGTTCTTGTATGTGTTATACAATTCGAAGTATAGGCTGAAGAAGACTTCAAGTATTCGTCACTTGTGTTACTTATAACGACCCGGTCTCGGCGATTGATTGACCGGTGATGTCGACGGCGAAGGAAGGAATTTCGGTCGGTACGGAGATCAGGAGTAATGACCCGATTGCACGATTGTTCCAAAGGTGAAAGAAAATGTCGGAACCGCCCGGCGTCGGCGTACAGCGTATTCGGGTGTGTAACTTCAATGTGACTTCTCTCTGTCGGGTCGCTTCGAGCTAGAGGGACAGGCTTACGTCTGTCTATCCCTTCACGATCGCTCGACTAGTCTCTTTCGGTACGGCTAGACGGCCTGGAGGAGGGGAGGATGATCGAGACTGGACTGGACCGCGAGCTGCGAGTTTTAGCTTGGGCGTAGAGAGAGATCTCCCACTGATCGAAAGTAGATCGTCTCGAATGAATCGATGTGTTTGAGAAGATCCGATTTTTTGTTCAAGTTGTTAATCGAAGTTAGATTCAAACACCGGTTTTTTTCACCCTCCAACTACTGCCGACCTGCCGAAGGGCCAAGGGGACGGTGGCGACGGGCGTATGAATCGGTTCTTGTCTAAAGAGTTCTCAGAGAAAGCGTCGCACAACCAAGTCCTTCCTCGGCCTACAGAATTCTTTTACTGCTGTTTTTTTTTACCTTTGTCAAGAATACAAGTATGACCGAAATCAAAGGTACTTCTTATAGTAATCGTCGTTATGTCCAGAAATGCCAAGTAAACGATTGTCAAAGGTCGATGCTCGGCGCTCGGAGTTGAGATTCTAAGTGCTTCCGGTATGACGGGCGACCGGCAAGGGATGATTGAAAAAATCTCAGTCAAGTACGAATACTATAGTGGAGGTGATGAGATGATGAACAGGTGTTCAGGGGAAATGGAAGGAAGAGTACGACGATGATTCTCGTTGCAGGATTGACGACGAGGGGGGGTTCCAAAGGGGGTGGGTCACTAGTGTTTCGTCGATCGTCGAAAGAGTAAGTGAAGAGTTTTTCGGATCGAGTTGTTCTTTGAGACTTTTTCAACAGTCTTCCAATGAACTTTGCGGGGTTTTGGGATACGATGATCTATGAAGTATGAGAGAAGAGTGAGAAGAGAAAAGATTGTTTAAAACAAGCGAGAAGGAATGCTGCGCCCGACTTTGTGTGCCTGTGCGTCACACCTCTCGGACATCAACCGCCGCTCTCCGCTATTTATTCCGTCGGATACTAGGGGTACCTTGCACAAACCTGCCGGACGCTCTGACCCTCAAAAGGTCCAAGCTAAAAACTCGTCTAGCGATGATCGGCGTATTGAGATACAGTACCTTTGCGCTACCCAACTGGGGCTAGTTGCTATATGATCCGACTCTCGAAGAGGAACAAGTCGTAATCTTTTCAGTGTGCTTCAGTAGCTGTTTTCCTACTTTGGGCACGATATCTATATCGAGATATCGAGAGTTTACTTTTCCCACATAGATCTAGGTCACACCGTTGTAGTAAATTCTTCGGCTTGAGAAAGTTCGGAGTATAGGGTAGATGTTTCCAAGGTTCTGGGACGTCGTTAGGTGATGACACGATAACGAAACGGGCGGTGAATATGTGGTTTGTGTTCCTAGCAGCTAGCAGCTAGTTTACCGTCAGTATCTCTTCAAAGATCTTGATACTGGAAATTTGATCTTCCACTTACCGGTATGGTTTTATCCACGATGAGTGGTAAGTTGAAAATTGTAGAGTCAAACGTAGATAAGGTGGAATAAAATGATGTACGCAAAAGTCAAGACGTAAGTGAAAGAAGCTACGTTATACGTCAATAATAATGTCTATCAAACCTTTCTCACATTGAACACCTTTGAGAGTGGAGGTGAGAGAGATGAGAACTCTGATTCTCCGAGGCCGAGGGTTACCAACTAGCTCCTAACGTGTAAAATCTCCTCTCTCGTCTTTCGTCTTTCATCTTTTCTCGTTTTGAGATCTACGAAGAAAGAGAAGATTACGTCATACAAACCTCCCGAATATGTCCCGAAAAACTCGAACATCAAACTTGACCGGAAGGCCGGTATACCGGAAAACCGGGAAACCGTTGTATGTGAAAACTATACCAAGTTGGGTAACACCGGTATGCCGAGGACTGAGACCATCAAGCCGAGTTGCGGCAAGGGAGGGGGGAAAGGATGTCACCAAGGTCTGGGGATCCGGCGACGAAAGAGGGAGGGGCGTTGGGGCGTTGGGCGCCGGGCGTCGTCAATGTGACCTCGCTAGTGGTTTCTTGTAAGTTTGTGACATCTTCCAAAAATCCTCGAAGCTCCAACGAGACAGGACCGATCAAGGCACCTTTTATCATCACCCTACCATTCCCATTTGTTAGCTTACAGTAGATCCCTTCTGAATTTACCATACTCGTACTCAGCATCTTGTCTTTGAATTCGTACCTCTATGCTCGAGGATCTACGAAAATGGGCACGGATTTTCATCCAATACCATGGTTTCATGAATGATCGATGGATCACACGGAAACAGTAAGTTCAAACACCGGAAACTTGGGAACCGGGAACATGTTTATCCGATCTTTTCGTCTTCAAGAAACAAACCCCCACACAATGTTCCCTTCTTCCTCGGCGACTTAGAATTATTGACCGACTGACCGTAATTGCGAGTTTGTAACGCCTTCCGTACGACAATTTACAAGAATGACCATTCAAGCGGCCTGACGGGCTGGCGGGCTGACATTTGGATAATTGGATTGGGGAATGTCTAAATTGTATGAGCTGATTAATAATTCCCATTATGGCCGACGATCACCCTCATCCTTGTACGCATCTTTGCGCGTTTGAACAAAACCCGGTACTGGGGTACTCCTGTGAATCCGGACGGCGGTTGACGGTCAAGCTTCCAGGACATGCCTGACAGTATCAGGAGTATTCGGTGTTAGAACTTGATGAGTCAGGATGTTGTAAGACGGCTTTTGACAGGAAGAAGAGGTTCGGCGTTAGGACTTGATCAGTCAGGATGTTGCGAGACGGCGTCTGACAGGAAGGGAAGGGATAAACGTGAGAATAAGATGAGTCAGGACTTGAAAGACCTTTCGGGCGGCCGGGTTCATGCGGAAAAGAACCACCAGAAAATATCAACAAGCATGTCGCATTGACCTACGCAATTAAAGGTGACAAATGAATGATTGATCATCTTGTCTCCGCTCGGAAATGTCCATTGGACAATTCTCCCGTTCCATTACCACTCTTTCCTGGTCCAGAGGATTTATGTCCCATCGTCGCGTATCCATTCCCCTCGTGAAGTTGATTCTGGTCATTTCGTGATAGGGGATTGTGTGAGGATTGCCATTTGACAGCTGGGGCTTTAATGGGATAACTATACATGATCAGCTGACTCGTCGCTTGTGTAGAGATCATGCACAAATCGCTGAGAGAGATGAACGATAGGATAGAAAGATCACATGAGCTCACGAAGGATGAATGATGCGGAGGTATGCTCTTCAGTGACAGAGTAGGGAGGTTAAGGTTTTTGTGTTACAAATGGATTGATATCAGGAGAAATGGGAGTGGAAGATAACAGAGGTGAAAAGCTGTGGACAACTAACCTGACTGTTTCCCCAGCTCCTTGAGACTTCTCAACCCTAATGTCAAATTCCAACTCCCCAGAAGAAAGGTATTGCACAATCGTATAGTTCCTCCTGGGCTGGGCCAACTATTGCATCAGCTTACAGGCTAACAGGTCGGGAACAGAACTGACTTTACGTTTCATAGGTGTCCCATCGGTATCCTTGTCGAATAGAGGGACCATCATCTCGTCTGTGTGGTGATCTGATATTAGCGTCTCCTCTCCTCTCCTTCAAATGTGTGGGCTCACCGTCTGCACGTCAGCTTCTTCCCTTATAACCGACTAACATACGAAACAGTAAATCAATCCAATGAATCCGAAGGAAAGTGCTATATCATGACAGCGCACATTTTTTAAAAATTAAGTGGTCAGGTTCTGGAATAGAAAATGTGTGATGAGAAAACGACTATATGAAATCATTTTCCTAACGAAACAAATGTTACTCACGTAAGGTCCTATGTTTATGTGAACCCAAAATTGATACCATCTTCGCCGCTCCTCCCGGTGGAGGGGTGTTCACAATAGCACTCGTCACAACATTTAACATATACCTATGATCTTCTTCTGGTCCTCCCGTCCCTCTTCTACTTTTCGTGAACAAACATCCCACCGCTGCTAAATGTACATCCCCACTTAAGAAAGTGATTCTGACTTTCATATCCAAAGCCAACTTTTGACATTCCATGACTAACCAATTCCTCTCTTTTTTATGGACATTAGCACACCAATGGTCGTTCAGATCATCCAACAATTCAGAAGCTTGATTGAATTTGTTGACCATGCCTCCTAATCCCAGAGCGTTATGTCTCGCCAGAACATTGACGGGATTCCATTTAAGATCTAAGAAATGTTCTAAGAAAGACATACGTGGATAAGCTATGGGTACACCGAGGAGGATGACAAGATGTTGAACATTCTGAAGTTTTTGAACTTCGGTGAAGATTTTAGAATATGTTTCTGGTCGACAGATTTGATGAAGTTTACGTTCGGCACGACAGTCGATAGCTAGTAATGTCACTTGAGGACCAAGATAAACTAAGAGGGAATGGGAGGGAAATGGGATCCATGGTCCGGGAGAAGAACCAATGATAAGACTACGAATAGGGTGAGTATTGGGAGAAGGGTTGACACCGTCGATTTGGTCATTGATAAACAGTTGGAAAAGTAGGAACCACTATAAGTTAGCCGAGTGTATCATTCCGGCTTAAAGTCTACTCACAAAATAACCACGGGACCCCACAAAGGACATGACAGGTGCTGCTTGAGTCTCGTCGTCATACGTTCCGAACCCATCTAAGATCATCAGCGAGATAGAGCTTGGATGAAACGTGGGACAAACCAATCAGGTCATGGTCGTCTAGCATATTCACCCTGATAGTCAGCTTGAACTATTTGACAGTAAAAATTGATCACATGGGAATTGACGAGTTTGCTCTGCTGAACGCGTTGCTTCGGAACATCTTGCAGTAGTGGTTGAAGCTATCCATCAATCCTATAAACCGGCTATGTTTCCTGGTAGGGCTCACTAGAATCGATCAATTGCTCCCTTCTAGACTTGTCAGCTGACGTGGAAGGACAGGACAGCTCCCACCATTTCATCTGTCAGTGGATGTCCAAGCTTGCGCTTTCGATCAGGGGCGTTTATCCAGGCTGCGAGCGTCAACTCTCTCAGTCGAGGGGAAGACCGAGAGGACCCACTCTGCAATTCCGGTTCACGTGTTAATGGATCACAATAGATCTGGTCGCCTCCTCCCACCATGCAGTGGAAGGCTTTTTGGTGATGGCGGAGAAGAAGATCTTCCCAGACGGGGTCATAACCTGAGGGGAACTCTCCCTTGAACTCATCTGGGTTGACACCTGCTGAGAAGCCTTCGTGGTCAGCGACAATCCACACAACCGACTGACCCTTCATTCCTGGACCGCCATGAGGAAAAGCCTTCTTATGGCCCGAAGCCAAACCCCACTGTTCAAATACCCCTCTCTATGGAAACATGGTCCTTAGAGGACTGGTTGTCACTGGAAGCGACATGGGTGTATCATGGCTAGGGAAAGATGAATCAAAGAAGCGAGTAACCCACCATTACAGCTATGCGCCGCCCACCGCAGATTCTGCCCTATGGCGGGAACGACAAACCCCATTTCAGCACCCCCATTCAATTTATATCTCACTGTCATCTCCATCTCTCCTAATGGTATTTCGAACAGAAATCGAAAGAAAGAACATGGACCTCGACTATCCACACCCGTATAACTATATATCCGTTGTGCAGTCACGTGTTGAGGTGGACGGAGCTGTTCAGTATCGTGCATTGTCGGAGCTTCTGAAGTGGGTGGTGAATAAGGATGAAAGGTGAATGTTAATGTTGGTGCTGAGGATAATTCACTCCCACTTATTGTCAGCTTCGTTAACCAACTTCGCTTGAGCTGACCTGTCGTTGGTTACTATCAAAGCACCGCCTTGCCAGATATTATGTTGAGTGGTATAGTATGCGAGAAGAGGTCCACACCTGTTTATCAGTTCTCTTTTCGTTTTCTTCCGGGGGGAGGAGATGCTTTCCAATCAGTGCACAAATACTGTGCCACTACCTCTTCCCTAAGACATACCCAGTATTACAGGAACATTGACATCAATATCACAGTAACGTGAATCAGCTTGGAGATGAAACGAGGAGAAAGTGAAACAGACTAGTAGGCAGATTAAAGCAGAAGAGATTCGAATGATAGGTAAGACTCACATGAGTTGTAAATGTGGATCCATCCCATCTCTCGCTCCTTCTCTTCTAGCCTTTTCCACATCTTCCAACCCCGGTCCTGCTTTCCCAAACCCCTCATCCCTCCCCTACAATATCAGCTCAAATTCGTCTCCAAAGATGGACTGACCTTCTTTTCACCGCCTTCTTTCCCTTCACCATCAGGCCTATCGGGAAGGTACGTATGAAGATGTAATGACGGATGAGCGTAATAAGAAGCATGAGCTTCAGCCGCTGCTGTACGAGATAAATGTTCTGCTCTATGTCGAGCATGGGGTGATACTGTATCCCTAATGTCTCAGCCTCCGCTTTACATGATTGAGCGAGGTACTGACATTTTGGTTCAGGTGTTCCTCTACTTCGTGTACCAGTACACTCCAAGTGGATCCCTTGAAAACACAATGCTGATGGTTGTTGAGTGAGGAGCAACGGGACGCTGGGACTTGACGAGATGCCCTCCAGGGGTACGGAAAGTTGACCCAAGAAGGCAAAGTTTAGCTCGCGTCGGTTCAGGTGACAGAGAAGACTAGGGATAAGCTAAAATCCTACAACGCCCGTGTCGAGCACAAAGGAGAGAACAGCAAAGGGATACTCTTGGTTTCTTTGACAAAGGTACAATAGTGCGTAGGACAAGTCTGTGCACTAACCTTTCGCCAATGCCGCTTTAACGATCTGTAGTTCCTTGTGAGCTGAACAGGATGACTTGGAGGCTCCGAACGTCCACAGGGCTGTATCACACGTATGCAAGTTGGTATCAGTGAATGAAGAAGACAATGAGCACAGAGTTGTTTATGAGAGAGACATTGACACGAGGGTTGAAGGAGTGAGGACACATCGAAATGCCAAGACCAGCGCCCGGATCGCGATCGGGACCTGAAGGTGGGATGTCTCTTTTGATTCCGCCAATCCCACAACAGTCGTTTCAGCTGTTTAAGAAGTACCAAAGTGCAGGTGGACGCCTGGGGGAAAACAACAAGTAGTAAAGTAGGGAAAGCGATAGAGCTCAACTAAAAATGCATCTGATCCCAAAATTGAATTTTCATACAAAACACCTACAGGTTCTCCACTGCAACACTCGCTTGCCATCTCCCCCATCGTCGCATGGCCCGAAGGTACACCGGTATGAGAAATATGAGGGCGAAGCAGATGGGGAGCAAGGCGAGAATAATAATGGTGCTGAACAACGTGATGAGAGGTTTAATGAGTAGGAAGTAAGTGAGGGCGGAGTAGGAGTAATGATCACTGAACTGTCGGTCAGCTATATGTTTTCTTCGAAATCACGATCCATCTGTCTGGTCGTATAGGGCGCGACATCCGGCAAAATACTAGTGAGAAGATTTCGGTAAGGGGTATTATAGCCTTGAAGGCGGAAGAAGAATGCCAATCGCTAATGGCAGACACAAGATAGGGTAAAAGACACCCACCATGGCATATGAACACTTCATAAACCCTTCCTCCCATACAACCTCCATAGGATCTTCCGATCCTACATCGCGGGGAGAAGTAGGAGCTCTAGGAGAAACAGGACTGGCGGGAGTGGAACGTTCTTTTATTCGGTAGAATATAGGATGGTAAGTGGGTGTGAGGGAAGTCTCGTCGAGTGGAGAATGATGATGTAGTTGCATGATCATCTGATGACTTAGTTCTCTCCTTTATTGGGTATCTGAAACCACTTCATCAACGATTGGATCTGCTGGAAGAGAATAGAGAATTGATGGCTGTAGCGAGGAATGCAACATTACCCAAAGACTCGGGACGCCGACCATCACTAAGGCAGAGATGATCATGGAGGAGAAGCATATAGCGGACAAGGCTCACCTCTAATCGTGCAGCCGATCGGGAGATGAATAGTGTCAACCACCACACAGCAGCTCCGATGGGCAGAGTGATGAGAAGTGCTGTTCCGGCCAATGTCCCGGCGACGAGGAAGGGCCATACGAAGAGAGCCTGGGGGTTAGCAAGGCCCACTTGTATATGACTGCACCTAGCCGAGTGTGTATAGCTACACGGACAAGTGAGAGGGCCAGACTGCACACTGAACACTGCAGTGAAGATCAAGGACTGAGGTCTCGATCAAACAGCAGGTTTGAGGAAATCATGTTATCGGTAACAATAACTCACGAAAGGGAAATTGAGAAAGACCAAATGTCCCACAGCTCTCCAATACATCCCACGTCCCATCGGTGCCCAAAACCTTCTCCAACCAGCCTTGAACCCGATTCCTTCCACATCACCCAATTCGCCTAACCAAACAGAACCCCACAAACCTCTCACCTTTTGTCTGGTATCTGTCTCGTCACCTGGATCAGGAGGTAGCAAAGGTGTTGTCTCGTTTGCTCCATTTTGTCCGTCCGAAGAAGAAGCCGGATTCCAATTTCCCCCACTCACTTCCACCGACGCACTCCCCTCGCCACTGGGATTTGAAAAAGAAGAATGATATCTAGGTCTAGGTCTCTCTGATACTGTCCCACTTCTATGTGATGCCGAAACCGCTCTCTGTCTATCCCCAACGGCTGACATGGTCCTAGCTCTGTGTCTACCGTGTGATTCAGGAAATAACAAAGCTGTAGTTTCTATACTTGGAAAAGGTACTTCTCTCCTAATTTCAGGTGAAGAAGGACCACTCTCGTCACTTGATGGTGGAGATGGTGCTGAGAATGGAGCGTATGGAGGAGGTTCTTCGTTATTTGCCGGTTTTGTCGGATCGAGAAGGAAAAGTGAAGAACCATCAGCTGAAAGTACGTAAATTTGTTGACCTGAAGCAGGAGGACGATGTATGGGATCTGAAGTTGGACGATGAGTCAATTGAGAAGGTTCAGGTGAAGAAAAAAGGTCTTGAGGATGGAAAATGGGAGATGTGGTCATTTCTCTATTTCAATTATTTGTAGAGAAAGAGGGGTGAAAATTGTCTGTAGTGGTCGTTCGGCTTTAACCGAGAAAGTGGAAGGAGGTCGTCAGATCAATCGTGTGATGGTGGATAAAGGTGGAGAAACTTCATTTGGAGAATCCTTTCATACGAACGTGTTACGTGTTGGTATGAGGGAGGTAAGAGGGGGGGGAGGGGAATGAGAAGATGGAGGGAAAGAGGAAGGTAAGAGGGGAGACGGACGATAAGGGTCTGGGTGGTGTTCAGGGAAGCGAAGAAGGAGAGAAGGGGTCAGCTAAAGTGGGGAGCGCGACTAAGTTTCAACTGGATGCAGATCTCTGAAATGTCAGACTATTACGCGAGCAACAACACTTGAGACGCATAGACGCAATTGTCTTGAGTACATGAGCTGTATCGCGTATCGTCTGGAGTGGAAGACTTCCGCTTGACTCTAGGTGAGAAGTCACGAAGTCATTCATCATGGTGAGCTATCTGTTCTGAGGTCAGAGAATGCAACTAATGACCAGTCAGTAACTTTGCATACAACTCACGGAGATCTCAAAGTGAATCATCTCATCACAAAAGTCTACGGATACTAATCGACAGATCGAAGTATTCTGCGAAGCCGTCCCTCGAACTTCAGAGGTATGTATGTCTCCCTTCTATCCCTCCTCAGCTCTCTTTTCGCCCTGGTACCTCCCGTGTCTCTCTACCACCGCTCGTCTTACCCAGTCGATATCCAACTATCGATCCAATCGACGATGCCACCGTCCTCCATGCGTTAATCATAGTCATGTCAAGATCAAAGGAGATAGCTGATAAATAGAACTTTCTAGCTTTGTGTGCATCGGGCGTATATGACAATACAATCTTTCATCGTAATATAAAAGGGTTCATGATACAAGGAGGTGATCCCACTGGGACAGGTAAAGGGGGACAAAGTATATGGGGTAAACCATTCCCTGATGAGATTCGACAGACATTACGAGTGGGTGGAGTCTTACTATATGGCAAATCTGATCCTCTTTCCATTTCTCTTCCCCAAGTGCTCCACTTTATCATATTCGACCTCCATCCTCTTGTCCCGGTGGGGTCTAACATGTGTTATTGGAATGCGCATCGGCTAACGACAGTTCAACACCCGAGGAGTAGTGGCGATGGCCAACGCCGGACCAGATACCAACAAAGCTCAAGTGAGTTTTCTTTTATAGGCTTAGAAATCAATTTGATGGGAAAGTTCTTCATAACATACGCTAAACAACCTTCTTTAGATGGAAAGTATTCCATTCTCGGTCGGTAAGTTTCGACCAACCCCTCACATCCTTCTTTTCTCGCCTCATATGTGCTGAACTCTTCATCCTCAACTTTCACACGACCATACCTTTTCATATTCTCATCTACAACTTCTGTGTCGTCCTTGTTGCTCTTGATATCTCCAAGATCTCCGGAGTTGAGGCGATTACGAAGAAGCATAAGCTCATTGACAGTGTCATAGATGGAGCCGATTCCACATTAGATCTGATGGAAAAAGTCCCAGTAAAAGAGAAGAACCGTCCTGTCTCAGAAATCAAACTCTTAAATGTTTGTCATCTATCCCCTTACTAAGGCAGGTCTAATATAGTAGGTCACGATACACGCCAACCCTATAGCGGATCAACACAAGTAACCCATGCTCAAATGTAGTTTCCTCTCTCTTGCTGTGACACTTCAACTCGCAAAATATCAACAGGCATCAGGTTTACCAATCTTATGACATTCTTTGCATTTTAAATACAATATCTATGTATACCATCCATTCGCAGTCATCACCTGAGTGGTGTGCCGACGATGAGGAATAACACATTCTTTGATATTGAACAAACGCTTGGCTTCCTATTCCCATCAGTCATACATTAACAAATGAGCAAATAGAAGACACACTTCCCAAGTATCCATGTCGAGTTCGACTACAGCTTGATTTCGGACTTTCTCAGCTTGTGATTCTTGTTCATCCTCGTTAACATGTTCTGACGTCAGGTCTCATCTATAATCCTTCCCCTCTGACCTGGGATAAACATTTTTTTTGGATGTATCGTACTCGATGCTCCTGACACGCATGACAACATGTTTGTTTCACACGCTTTGAGTGAAAGATGCTCTCTTTCACGCACAGATGATTTAAAGGTATCATGGACGAGTCGAAGCAAAGATGACAGCAAGGAGCAGCAGAGATTTCAGATGCGTCATGGAAGACGAAGTGTGAAATGGTGACTCGTGACTAACCTAAAACAATCTCCCCATTGGGCAACACCCTCACACCTGCATGACCTTCCTTCACCATGAAACTAGTGTAAAATACATTTTCAACAGTTTGAGAGTAATCATGGGGATTGATGACGAATTGGAAATAATTGATGGCACCACCAGGTGGTACGGTTTTTCTCATAACGTTGATAACCTATTTATCAGCTCGGCTCCAGCGAGAACTACTCCTCACTGTGGAGCTTAACAAGTCCATATGGTGAACCCTGCTATAATTGGAATGGAGGAAACTGGATCAATTGCCATACTGGAGGAGCATACGGGAAGATTTGTAGCAGTCAAAATGAGTAATTTCTGGCGAAGGAAAGTCCCAGAATGTTGGATGGACGGGAGATTGAATTGGAGGCATTTGTGTTATAATGAGTAAGAGAACGACAAACCTCTTTCACCAAACTCGCAGTATCTTTAGCATCTTCTTTACTCTTCTGCTGTGTCTGGATCTCTTCAGGTCTAACTTCCGGCTCGAGAGACTTCTTTCGTTGTCTGGGTCCGATTTGTCTCTTTTTGTGTTGAATAGTCAAGGGTCCGTACCTGAGAGTTTAGCCGCAATTCGATCACAAGATATCTTGTGCTATTTCATACCAACGATTCATTTCGCATACTCGCAGGCTACTAACGTCACGACTGGAGCCAAAAAGAGGGGACTGGGGTATTGGTATTGGGGTATTTGTAAGTGGGATCGAGAGCAGGGGAGCTGTACAGACTAGAGTACTCTGCGAATTCAGACGGATGGTGGTGGTCAAAAAGACCCAATGTGATAAGAAACCGAGAAAAACTCACATAAATTCAACCCCAGGTACTCGCCGTGAGTACTTGGCGGCCATCCAACCGACTTTCTCCCAATCCCCTAAAGGTCCATCTCTGACTCTCCGTCTAGATGCTCTTTCGAGAGACTCGTCTAATTGATCTTCGTCCTCATCTTCGGAGATATTGTCCATATCAGGTCTATCCAAACCTAGACAACTTTTCAGTCTGCGGGTAAGTATCGCATCCACAAATTGCTTCGCCATCCCATTTACGACGACAATCACCCTACCTATCCTGAGCTTAGCGGTTGATGGGTGGCCATTATGAGAATAGGAAAACAGGGTTGTCAAGATGCATAGTAGCCCAGGAAAGAACGTGATTAGGGCAATTTGAATTGCGACTCACTTAATGATAAAGTCGTCAACATCAAAATCATTGTTATCCAATTTCATCTTTCTTGCCAGACCAAAAGCCGTATCAGCGGTAGTCAACATTAGTCTGGCATCCAGAGCTGCGGTTCCAGTATCCCTCACTGCTTATCAATCTTCACTTCACATTGTGGTTCAAGGACTGACCTTGGTCGAATAGGGCTTGTTGTCTTGTTAAATGCTTTGCAAGATCATTGGCGGTGATATTGGCTTGGTTTGCTTTCATATCTGCCCGTCAGACCGACCCATCTATATTGTAAATAACTGCCTCCCCTTCTCTTCTTCGGTTCAAGACCAATGTTCGAGTCACAGAGGTAGACTCAAGACTGACGCATGAAGATGAGGAAGGTTGGTAGTAATACTTACCATCCGCTTCAGCTTGCATCTCCCTGTATTCCCTACCCAACCTTGCCTTCTCTTCAATACTTTGCTTCTCAAAGATCTCATCCACCCCTGAGAACAGTTTTCTCTTCCCCGAACTTCTCCTATCCTGTGTTTGGCCATTTCGATGAGATGCCGAGTTACCGTTCAATCTTGAAGGTCCTGCGTCGGACATGTTGGCTTGCTGATATTAAGTTTGTTCGAATAGCCTGTTCAACTGAGAAGACAAGTGAGGGAAGATGGTGAAAGACGCGCAATATAGGGGAAACGCGAGGAAGCAACATGGTGAAATTTCAGGCACGGCCACGGCGCTCGGACCTGCGCGATCGTGACCCAGTCCAGTCACCTAATTAATTACCACCCAACTCATTCTTTTCTTCTCTCACTTTCCTTTTCCAGTCACTAAGTATACGGGTCAGGATATGAGGGTGTGAAGATGGTAGGTCCAAGTCAACGTTCCCGAAGGGCCGAGTGAGTCATTCGAATGGATTGTTCAACTAGTCCGACAGCTGACGAGACAGTTCCGCCGACCCGGAAATAACCCCTTCCATCATACAACAAGACCCCGACAAGTGAGCGATTACTTCGTTTCTGATTCTGCCCTACCCGAAGAAGAACAAGAACTGACTGATAGCTGCTTCCGTATCCTACTGGCAACGGATAATCATATAGGATACGCTGAAAAAGATCCAGTTAGAGGACAAGACGCTATCAATACTTTTCGTGAAATCCTCCAGATTGCCAAAGAGGCAGATGTGGATTTCATCCTCCTAGCAGGTGACTTATTTCATGAGAATCGACCAAGTCGAACATGTATGCATCAGACCATCGCCTTGCTTCGGGAATATACCATGGGCGATAAACCGATTTCAGTATGTTTTTAGCTGCTAGTTCAGGATACGTAAAAGAGCTGATGAAGAGTTCGAATTAATGAGTGATCCTATGGAAGGTAGTACACCGGGTTTCTCCTTCCCAGCAGTCAATTACGAAGATCCAAATTTGAATATTTCTATACCTGTCTTTTCGATACATGGGAATCATGATGATCCGCAAGGTACTGGACCTGTGAGTCGTTTCTTTCTCTCCTTCTCTCTCCCCCCTTCCCTTCCCCTTTTCCTTATCTTCCTCTTTCCAATTCTGTCTTGCTCGATCCCTTGGTGACCGCTCCTCTCATCTTATGCCCGTACACCCACCATCCACTTTGACGCCCCAGCCTTTCATTACGAGACTCGGGCTTATTCGCAGGAAGGTGCTCTATGCGCTTTGGATGTGCTCTCGGTGTCTGGAGTGCTTAATTACTTTGGCAAACTCGACCTTACGGCAGATGAAGCGGCTGCCGACCCTTCCGACCAAGGGATAAAGATCCGACCAGTCCTCATACGCAAGGGAAACACACACCTGGCAATGTATGGAGTTGGGAATGTCAAAGATGCCAGAATGCACTATGAGCTTCGAAGTAATCGAGTCAAAATGTTCATGCCGGATGGAGGTGGGGAAGTCAGAGATGACGATTGGTTCAATATGTTGCTGATACACCAAAATCGGTAAGTCACTCATTGAGTCTCATGAAGAACCAGGCTGACTTCAGCGTCAAACATGGTCCTCAACAATCGGTCCCAGAGGGCATGTTTGATGATTCTATCAACCTCGTGATATGGGGACACGAACATGATTGTCGTATCTGGCCTGAGAGGGTAGAAGGGAAAGACTACTATATTTCTCAGCCGGGAAGTTCAGTAGCGACCAGCTTAGCTCCAGGAGAAGCTATCCCAAAGTACGTCGCTATAACTGACCGAAACGACCCTGCTTATGCGGAGACATGTTGGCATATTGTCAATACAAGGCAGTCAATTCCAAATTGCCGAGATACCACTAAAGACGGTTCGACCGTTTGTGATCGAGGAAGTCGTCTTGACAGAAGCTGCTGCGAATCCAAGAAACAAAATAAATCTGGAGGAGCGAGACACAATAACGTCCTTCCTACGTGCGCAGGTAAGCTCGTGAAATATCAAGGAGTCCGAGAGCTGACAGTATAGGTGGAGAGACTCATAGCCAAGGCTAGGGAAGAATGGGAAGAGCTGCATTCCGGTGATGATGAGGAGATGATGTTGCCACTCATCAGACTGAAAGTGAGTACAGCTGTGCAATGTTGTGATGCATTGTCGCTGACATGTGAAGGTAGAGACGTCCGAGGTCAAGGAAATGACCAATCCAGTCCGATTCGGTCAAGACTTCGTAGGCCGTGTTGCCAACCCTCGCGATATTTTGCAATACTATCGCAAGAAGAAAATAGCTGAAAGAAGTATGTATGATCCCATTCTAATCGCTGCCCCACATTGCTGACATCGTAGAGCCCCAAAACCGGCCCGATGCCCCAGACATCGAAGACGACGACGAAGATTGGGGACCCGATGATCTGGCCGCTATGACGACCAACGATCGATTGTCCAAATTGAGGATGGCGACGCTTGTCAGGCAATACCTACAAGCGCAGAATCTGGAGGTGTTGGTGGAGAATGGGCTGGAGGACGCCATCATGCGTTTCGTTGACAAAGACGATAGGGATGCGATCAAAGAGTGAGCTCGCCCCTGACTATGATTCGTATGTCGGATGAGCTGATATGTAGTTTTGTTGTGGACACTGTCAAAACTGTGGGAAGGGATATGCGGACGAAGGAAGTGGATGAAGATGACGTGGAAGAGCATGTGAGTGTCTCGCACATCTGTTGAGGTGATGCTAATCGAGTCAGATGGTTCGGGCGAAAGAGATGTATGAGAGGTCTCAAAGCCGGTTATGACTGCTGACGGATAGTGTAGCTTCTCAATGGGAGACGGAGCACAAAGGTCGGGAAGATAACTCGGTGAGTTTTCCTCCTTTAAGATAGAGATCGCAACTGATCTAAAAGAAATCAAGGAAAGCCAAGAATAGGCCGAAAGACTCAGACGAGGATAGTATGGGTCAGCTCACCGTCCCTGTTAGCCTACCGCGAGCTGACACGACAGCTGCTGAAGATAGCATGTGAGCAACTAGCTCGATGATATCATACTGACAAGGCAGGATGGAAGTCGACTCTGAAGCTTCGTTTCAGCAAAGCAGTGCGGTAGGTCGTGGGAGAACCACGTCATCTACCGGGACGAAAAGTCGGGCCAAAGGAAAACAACCATTAGTCAGTTTCTCATGCCGTCTTTCGTCGATAAAACTGACCGCAGTTTGACCAAGATGACGAAGAGGAAGAAGAAGAGGTCGTACCCGTCAAAAGAAAGGTCCCAGCTTCCACATCCAAGACCAAACCTCCTGCTAAAACGACGACCAAGAAAACTCCAGCTAAAACAAATACCAAACAAGCACAATTGACGTGAGTCCATACGATTTGACCATGGCTCAAGTTGACTGAATAGGTTCGGAAAGAAGCCGACGGGAAAAGCAAAGCCAGCGAGTCATGCGAAATGAGAAGTGATGAAAGCTAACTCAAAGATTGAACTGTCCGATGATGATTGAGTCTGGGAAATGCGGGTAGATGTATCATAAGGACACGTGTATAATATCATTGAGCATCCCGCATGTCGTGCATTGCATATGCATCCTGGTCATTGGACCATTGGGTCGTTCGGAAATGAGTCTCGCCCGGGGATCATGAGGGTTAGATTGGACCATATGCTGGCAAGTAGTGACCTCAAATCATAAGTGGGCCGCACATAGGGTCATGATGACAAGGTGACACTGGGCAGCATGGTAGCAGGAGGGATGAGCAGAGGTTGTCGCCGTATTTGCCGTACGCCGCTCACCATCGCCGTCTGACGGTCCCTCTTCTTCCGAATCTGACCGAAAGCGAGGCGCCACCGTTCAGACGGTCGGATCATCTCTCTTCCACTCATTTCTCCTCTTCACATCGACTACGATTCCCTGCATATGCAGGCTTGCAGCGTGTTGTCCATGTTGCTCCGACCGAAACCTTCTAAGAAACTACCGAATTGTCCGACAGCTTGCTTGCAAATTGGAGTCTAGTATCGATGCAACCCCGAGGCTTTGACCGGGAACACGCTTCCTACCTCTTTGGGATCTTTGCGTTGGTCAGTTGTCAATCGTCAAACACGTTACGAGTACCGCTCCCATAGTCTCAAGTCGTAACGTCGTGCCCCTTGTCGATTATGGATATCATACCTGACAGCTAGGTAGCTGTCGTGCTACTTGCTAGTTGATGACATGTAGTCTGAGGTGTTCGCCACTTCTACCATCTGCTCTTCCGCCGGCGGCCCCCGGGGCTCGCATACGAACATACGACAAAGATACGCCCGACCCCTTCAGAGGCGTCAAGTCATACCTTTACCTACGCCTTGAGGATTGACCGCCCAAGGGTAACGGACTGCTGGCCGTTGGCGGGATCTTCATTATTAATCATCTCTCTTCGTTTTCTCTTCTCATACCTACGTGACAAACACCCGGTCATCCGTACTTACTCTTCTTCACATACACCCGTCTACCGTGGCCGTCGTACAAGTCGTTGATCATCGGTAAGTCGTACTTCTCACATCTTTCAGTCCAAATTAACTGACACAAAGATGAACATAGAATGTAAGGATCATGACAATTACCATACGGCATATTGACCAAAAGAGTATTAGCCTACCACCATTTTCTTTCCCTTTTCTACTGATCGACTAATGAGATATACGAGATCGAGTATATACTTCATTTTTACTCACTTAACCCCACCATCAAAAACGTTTCACACCTGTTTGGAGCAATCGTCTAATTACCTGGTCATTCGTCATCTTTCATCATCCGGACAAGTCTAGAACATCCAAATTGTGTGATGTGTGATCAAAAAATGGTAGTAGAGTATGTACGAAACTTTCTACTTATCGCAAGGTCTCACATCTAACACTTTAAAAATTCATGATTGTCGTTGAAAGTACAAGATGGGCATTCATTGATTGATATGTTGATATGATGATCTGTTTATTTGTTTATTTGTTGACATGCGTGACTTGAGTTTGACTGATTGAGAATAGATATAAGATACCTGAAAAAGAGTGGATGATTTTTCTCTCATCAACCTATTTGTCTACAGTGAGTTTTCCAAAAAGATACGATCATCCCTCCCTCTTCCCTTACTTTCAAAACCACGCCCCCTAAATCCTAATAACCCCCAAACTACCCTCTTTCCCCCAAACCCTGCCCGTTCTCATTTCCCACTGTTCGCCCTGACACTTACCCGACTTTTGACTTCTTCGGGACCGAACCTGATCCAATCCAAAATTCATCCAAGGGGCGTCCATTTGTAGATCCGAACATCACCCGACCGGAATCATCATTCTTGTCTTAAGGGAAAATCACTCATTGTATCAGTTTTACGACCCATAAGAATCACGGGCTGACGATTGGTAGATGATTCAAGGGAGGTTACCTTTTATATACGGCAACACAAAAAGAAGACCAGTGACCAGTTGTAAACAACGTATCTTCAACCCACATTGGAGTCCTCCACAGTTTGGTGAGCCGGATAAGATCAACATATACGACTACAATCGTATGCTGGTGAGGCGTGCTTTGGAAGCCAGTGAACTCTTGGGCACTTCTCCTTCACTCGACACTTCTTTATCTTCTAATTTTACAGTCGTATCCTCTCGCTTTCATCCAAGCAAGATGATAAATACTCTCGAATCTATTCCACAGGAAGAGTCCCCAGGTCAACAAATCTCTTCCAATGAGAATATCAGTCCTCAAAAAGTTCACGTCCCTCACAATCATCGTTACAAAGAAAACAAAGAGGTCACAAAGATTGTCAAATCTTACCTTCGTTCAACTGCATACGATTGTCCATCGACTGAAGGAATCCCATTTCCGATCAAAGAACTCAACTTTTCAAACCAAGCTTCTTTAGGTCCATGGATTACCGTACCCGAGAAATACAAAGCTATGAGGGATTGGAGGATCTTGATCGTTTGTACCGCTGTCAATAGTATGACTCAACAATTCCATTGTCTCTTATCTATGCTCAAGTTCAACTCGGTGTCTATCCAAATGGCGACGAACGAAAAAGATGTGGTGGCGGCTGTCGAAACTTGGAAACCACAGTTGGTGATCGGCACGTTCCTGACTATGAAAGTTCCAGAGTCAGTGTTTAAGAATGTGAGTCAAACTCGCCCTTGAAGTCTTTCAAACGTATCCAACAGCTGTCGGTAAAAGGAATATCGCTGACTTTGAAATAGGTTTTGACGCTCATTGTTCATCCCGGTCCACCTGGAGATGTCGGACCTTCTTCCCTCGATTGGGCTTTGATGGGTGATGATGGTTCTCTTCCTTCGACCGATGCTCTCAATCACCTCATGACCGGCTCCTTGGTTCACAACGCCATTCGTCCTCGTCAGAAATGGGGTTGTGTTGTATTTCAAGCCAATGAAGAACTAGACGCTGGTGCCGTATGGGCATGGGAACATTACGATCTTCCAGTAATAGGATCCATCACTAAATCTCAACTTTATCAATCATATCATCGTCCAGCAGCCGTCAAAGCTCTCATCAAAGCAATGTGTCGAATTTTCCGTCAATCTCGTGGAATGGGTGGACTGAAACAAATGGAATTTCCAGAAGCTAAATTGAAATGGCACGACATATCAGTTTCTGGAAGTATTTTACCGGAAAAATTATGCGATAGACCAATCCTTCGTCCGAAAGATAGGAAAATCGATTTCGCCCTGATCACCGCCATTGACGCTAAAAGGATCATCGCTTCTGCCGATTCTCAACCTGGAGCACAACTCAGTCCCCCTACTACAGATTCAACAACTGCCATCTTGATTTATGGAGCTCATGTGGAATTATCTCCTCCTCCATTTTCCATCTGGAGTAGTTTGGGAGTTCATTATTGGGAAGATGTTCCTGCTGGACGTATCATCGCTTCGAGAGATGGAGCTTTGTGTTTCAAAACTAAATCATGTTCAAAATCTGGCTGTGCCGAATGTGGTGTTGCTGTTTGGGTAGAGATGGGACGTGTACCTAAAAAGGCTGGTCAACCTTTGGAACCGAAGATTCCTTTGAAACTCGCCATTCAACGATCTGGACATGGTGCTTTTTTGAAAGGTGTTGGTGATTGGCCGCAATATATGATGTACCAAGTCCCAGGGACTTATCAAGAGATTTACATTGATTCTGTCTCTCTTCAAGATCGCAGCATCGTTCAGTTTGTTCATTTCAACTTCTAGTGAGTTATCTTTCCATCTTTCTCTGATAAACATGTTATTCCAAAGTCAGATTGGGCCGCTTGACGCTTTCGTTTTCATGTTCTAATCCAACCCTGGAAGGAATGTTGACGTGCAGTAACGGAGCTATGTCAACCACCAAATGTCACAATCTCCTTCGAATGCTTCAATGGTGTACCCACCCTAGTCGCGGTAATGTTCGCGCTCTAGTCTTAATGGTACGTCTCTTTCTTCGTCATATTTACCTCAGCTGTAGCGATACAGAACAGTCAATCAGCTGCTGACGAGATAGGGTGGTCTTACTTGTTTTTCGAACGGTATCGATCTTTGCACTATCGAAGCTGCATATTCCCCAGGTGAAGAAACCATGCGCAACATCATTGCTATGGACGACGTTTGCGAATTCCTTCTCTCCGATGTGTCTGTTCATAAATCCGCCATTATCGGTGCTGGTCCAAGTTTGGCCGAAAGGGGAATCATGACGATGGCTTGTCTGAAAGGTAATGCAGGAGCGGGAGGTGTGGCATTGGCTACCAATTGTTCTTTTGTCATTGGGAGTAAAACGGCGGTTTTCAATCCTGGTTATAAAGGTATTGGATTGACTGGTGCTGAGAATCATACGTGAGTTGAATTTCTTGCTTTCTTCTCTCGACCTGCTCCTCATTTTTCCACATCGTTTCAGATCTTTCCTCACTTCAACTTGCATATATATGCTCAATCCATTGCTTCTATGGCAACTTGATGATCTCGTGGAACATCGGACAAAGATATGGGGGGGGGGGGGGGGGGATCCAACATGAAGAAGATATGTGGCTAACCTCACTCAGGTTCACATACAATCATCGTACTGGCGACACCATGGCCGAACGTCTTCTCACCGATCTCATCCCAATGAGCGCTTCTCAATCTCAAGCCATCGGTCTCATAGATCATTCAACCGGTACATTCGATATGACACCATTACAAATCGACATCACTATGAAATCCCTTTGTCTAGCTATCCTCAATTCCACAATTTCTTCACCTATCGCATCTTCCATAACTCCCGCACCATGGGCTCGACCATCAAGAGGTTCACCACCTTCAAAAGATTTGTTACTCACTACGGCATATACACAAAGTCAAATCAAATACATGTCAAATATCCCTATTCCTATTGCTCATTTACGACATATAGAAGAAGAAGAAATGACTATAGATTCTTTTGATCCATTACGCTCTAAACGTTATCATCCTCGTCGATATGCTTTCGTAAGAAAAGTTAAAGCTACATCAACTCCTCTACGTTACGCACATCATTTATCCAATGGTGAAAAAGATATAGAATCAACACCTCAATTCGATCTCACATTTCCGGATTATCTAAAAGGTTGTTATTGGACTTTAGCAGGTTTGAAAATACCTAGAGATTTGATTAAAGATGAAAGATCTCTTTCACATTTTACAAGATCTGAAAATTCAAGCTCAAATGGTGATGAAGCCAATATATCTGGAACTACAGCATTTACAGAAACGGATTATATTATCAATGAAGATGTTGGAAAACAAGAGAAATCTCCAACGAAACCGAATAAAGATATTATAGTTTCATCTATTTCATCAAAATCGAAAACTATTCAATCCCCAACAGAAATTCCAACTCTCACCACTGCTGTTGTCAAAGGAATCAATAATCCTAAAGATAAATCTATGATTTCAAACAATGATGGTATGAACGGAAAAGATCAAAATAAAATCATTTCGAAAGAAGGGGGAAATCATCTATCACCTTCAATTCCAATTGAGATTGCTTCCATACGATCTCGTTCATCTCAAGGGAAAATGTCTAGATTCTTAACTATGCTCAAACGTGGTAATGGTGAACAATATCGTCAAATTGAAAAAGAATCAAAGAAAGAAGAACCGATGATTAAAAGAATGTTTGGAAGTTCAACTAGACGTCCTCAAACTTCTTATGTAAAACAACAATCTCCTTTGATTACAGGAGCAGTTTTCGTTCCTCCTACCGTAAAACAACCTTCGAATCAAGATTCAGAAGAATTACCAAGTTTGACTGTGGAAAAAGCAAGTATTGAAAATCAACCAGTCAAAAATGATCAAGTTATTAAACCTCAAAGACCTGTTACAGCTGGTCAAATGACCATTGGGAAAAATGCAGGAAGAAGGTTGAAAACTGGTAATCATTATACTTTACCAGAAGTTCCAAATGCCGATATCATCGATTTTCCTTGTATTTATAACCCCGCCCCTGAAGAGAATGAAGGAAATGGACGTGAAGAGGAAGGTCAGACTGGAAGGGCTTACTAGAGAGGGGATTTCTCACCGACCTCTTACCTCCAAATCCAGTCAAATACAATTACACCCTCAAATTTCTCTTCCGAAATCCACAATGCCGTTCCTTCGATAAGCCTCCTTGATTCAAGTTTCACCTTTCTTCATATTCCTCGGATGTGACGTGGATACCTCATATACCACTATGATATTACCCTCCCGATATACTCTCATTCAACTTCGCCTTTCCTAATCCTTGCCCCGTCAAACTTGTTTCCTCGTCGACGCCTCGCCTACATCCTGCGATCTTTTGATGGATGTCTTTCGTGCGGTCTACACCGGGCTTACCAAAGACGTGTCCAATCGCTTCCCAACGATCGACTCGACCAGCTCTCAAGTCTCTCTCCCCCCCCCCCCCCCCCCCACCCCTCCCCTTCAGCTGACGTATGTCCGAATTACCCTTTCGAGGATATACGATCAGTGGCTTTTTTGTGCTTTGCTCTTTTGTTTGCTTGGACTGCGGTACTCTGTTTGTTGATGCATGTAATGACCACTATCGTGTCTTCTGACGTCTCTTTTGTCTGTAGACTGTCTGACTAAAGCTTCTTTTCTAACGTTAGTCAAGACCATCACATGAGTATTCAGTGAGGTCATAATCAGGCTGCTTTGGTTCATTTTCGCTGCATCCAGGATTTTTTTCTTTCAAGCGCTCTATGCCACGTCTACAGCGCCGACGCCCCGGTGATGATATCAATGAGTTCGTTGGTGATCACGGCTTGACGACCACGGTTGTATTTCAACTGGAGGGAACCGATCATGTCCAGGGCGTTCTGAAAAATCAGCATAATTCTCTTGAACACAAGAGGACGATGGAGGCCGTATGAGACACGCTCAGTTGCAACCGATCTACCAACAGGGTAAACATGACATGACTAATGGGAGGATGAAGAGGTCAGAGGTGAAGAGACATATCGTGAGAGGGTCACTCACGTTTGACGCATTCTCCATAGCAGTCCTCCTTGCCGAGATCTCCGCTGCATGTCCTTCAACCAAAGCAGTGTAAATAGCGTTGGCTAAAGCAAACTCTGCCAAATCTTTCGACACATCCTCTTCCATCTCATAACGGTTGAACCCGGCGGATTCCCTAAGCGCCTCGGCGGAAATGACAGAGACCATACGGGATTCGTATGAGATAGCGGAAAGGTAATGGTTGGAAACGATACGAATCTGGGCGTCAGCGAGGTCTTTGTCCGCCAATAACCAGACTTGTTATCCTCCAAGATAAATGATCTTGAGTATCAGACAAAACCTCACCTCGTCCCATTCACCACCATTTTTCATGATTTCATCGGCAATAGCGGAAGCTTCACTAAAAGTTGGAACGTCCTTGCCTACACTGCTAAAAGACACCTTGAGGGATTGAGGCATGGCACGACTCAATTGCGCCTTGCTCTTGTCCCCCACAACTGCGAGGGATCCAGGAGCTTCGGCCATTTCTTTTTTGACGAGACGGGATACGGAAGAGTGAATACCGCCGCAAAGTCCACCGTCGGAGGAAATCCCAAGATAGAGGATCTTGGGTTTGTGATCCGGAGAATCGGGTTTGGAGTGTTGAAAGATTTCTACGTTTCAGTCCTCTGATTTTTCTCCACCAGACAATCACAGAAAGACACACCGTTGTTGGCAGCTCCGTACTTCTTGGCTTCACGCATTGCCCTTTCGGCACGGGTAAGTTTGGTGGAAGCCACGACTTTCATGGACTGCGAGTCAGTTTTGCAAGCCATGAGGTGGAACATATGACGGGCCTTTGTGATTTTCTCAATGTTTTTTACCGATTTGAGACTGTTTTGTCAGTATATAGATCTCTCCCGGTCGGTCCTGGTGATTTCCATCCTGCATTCAACGCAAGGGATGCAATCGATAAAAGCAAAGAAACGAGATCCTCACCGAGATTCAATCTCCCTCAATGTGGCCATACCGTTTTGTTGCTGAACCCCACGGAGTGGAGCCGCCGAGGAGAGAGCGGGTCGGATAGCCCGGGAGAACATGACGGATTGTTGGGGGGGAAGAGAGGAAGTGTAGAGTGGAGAGAGAAGGGACGGAATGGAGTTGTCGGGAAGGGGGCGGAAGGGAGAGAGAGGGTGCCACAGTGTCATCCTTACAAACACCGTAAACGCCGAATATAACCTCAAGCTTCCTCCACTTTGAGCGTGTTCTTTGTTCCGACTCGACTCTTTGCATTATAACAACAACTCTACTCCTCTTACAGCCACACACATCTTATCAGCTAACTCCTACCACATCTCACCGTCACTTCAAGCATACAGACCGCGCCAAGAGTAAGTCAGGCGCACTTCCTGCATGACCACTCTGACATCTCAGTGGCCGATCCAGAAGTTCAAGATATTTTCGCCGGAATGAAGAAGAAGAAGAAGAAGGTCGGTGTAGAGGCAAGCGAGCCAACTCCGGAGCTCGCTGAAGTATCTCAACCCACGCCCGCGTCACCTCCTTCTCCTGAGCAGGAAGTCACCCAACCGGCCCCTGTCGCGTTACCCGTAGAAGAGCCGATCAGCTCTGGAGTTGCCACCCCCGTAGACATTGAGAGAGCTCCTACGGACGATGTGGACCTGTTTGCGGATATGAAAAAGAAGAAGAAGAAGAAGAAGGAGCTCCCTCTTGACCTAGTAGGTGTCCTTCATGCTTCACATGACTTGTCAGACTGATTCAAATAGGAAGCCGGAGAAGAAGCCCCTGGGCCTGCCCCTTTAGATGGTATCGATGTTCCTATCAAAAAGAAGAAAAGCAGAAAACAGGCACTGGATTTTGCAAAAGAGTTGGATGACTTGGATGGTGAAGGTGAAGATGCGCCAGTGCCTGACGACTTGGATGGAGATGCCGGAGATGACTTATTCGAACGTCCACAAGAAAGTCAAGCCGCTGAGAGCGGGCAAGAGGCATGGGTGTCAGAGGGACGTGACCCGACATATGCGGAAGTAAGCGAATCCACAAAGAAACACCTTGCCCAGCTGACATTTAGCTTCTCGATAGATTCTTCCGCCTTCTTCACCAACATAATCCAGAGCTCGCCGGCGACAAGAAGCGGTATACCATCGTTCCCCCTCAAGTCGCCAGAGAAGGTACAAAGAAAACCGTCTTCTCCAACATTTACGACATCTGCCGAAGAATGCATCGACAACCCGAACATCTCATTCAATTCTTGTACGCCGAATTGGGCACACAAGGTTCGGTCGATGGTGCTCAGCGACTGATTATGAAGGGGAGATATACACAGAAACAGATCGAGAATGTACTGCGGAAATACATCAGTGCGTTATTCGGTTGCTGGACGTGGAGAAGCAATGTCACTGACATGTCAGCCGAGTATGTCACCTGCAAAATCTGCAAGTCGCCCGATACGTTACTGGGCAAGGAGAACCGTTTGTATTTCATGACGTGCGAATCTTGTGGATCTCGTGAGTGCTTCTTCGGAGGTCCAACCTGTGCTGAGACTATCAGGTCTGTCGGTGTCGGCCATCAAGGCAGGTTATCAAGCGCAGATCGGGAAGAGAATCAAGGCCGCTTAATAACAAAAAAGACACGATCACTTGCATTGCACATGTATACGATATCAACTTGTCCTTACTGCTGACCTGACTAATTAGTTTCCTCATAAACGTCAACACCATCTGGGTTACTTGTGCAATCGGCCGCAGTATCAATTGTGAGCGACGACGACACGTCAATCTCTTGACAGTACAGCTGATGGACAGACGGAATTGAAAAAGTGGGCGGACACTCTATCCATTCATTCACTCATCGCTCTCTATGGTTCATTGTTCATGCTATGACTATCCTTCACTCATCTGAACCTCAATCGACACAGCTTACCCAGGACAATATGGCTCGTAAGCCCACTCTGGTCCCCAAGTGGGACCGGCGAATGGACAGATCAGGGCATGATGGTTGGAGCGGGACATGATTGTGTCTTTGGCATGTTTTTCTTGAATTGAGTAGAGTAGGAGATCGCACTTCTAGGAGGTGGGTAAGTCATCTCGTAATACTTCCATCCCCTAGGGGTGATGCCGGACCGATTCAAAGCTTCTTTAGCGCTCATCATACCATCAATCACAATGACCATTGTGAGCCTCTCAATTAGCGGGGGATCGTACTCATACTCCCGCCACCCCTTTCCCGAGAGATAATCTGAATGGATTGCTCCTCTCTCCTCATTGCTCAAAAGCCGGTAATAATCAGCCGTGGCTAATTTCCTTTCCGCCATCTCCTCTGCGAGGATGACACGAGTGAGCATGTCATATACCACCGAATACCCCCAAACACGGTCGTTGCTGATCGTCGTCGTCGTCCTCCGCCTTGTAGCACTCTTACTTATTCTGAGATTACCACCTCTTACATTGCCCCGCCCTCCCTGCTGTGCGGCATCTACCACGTCACTCGTGTCACTTTCTCTAGGTATGCAAGCTTGAAATTGTTTTAGACTATCGTTTAAACCCCTTAACGCTGACCACGCTACGCCACATAATTCGAAGGCTGGTTCATTGTCCTTGTTACCGTCTTTTCCATTTTCTGTGTCTACGCATTTGCCTGTGTGAACATTGTTTTCGTTTGTATTCGTCCGGACCTGATTATCGTACTGAATACTCGCCAACAAGAAGATTTTGCCTGCTTCATTCGCTAACATGCTGATCTTTGCATCCCTCATGCGGAACAGAATGGAATCGACGATTGCCTCTGTCATCGAACCACGCCTGTGCAGGCAAGACGTGGATGACTGCTCAAATTGTGGGTGAGTGGTTATCTCTGACATTCCCTTGGCAGGTTGCTGATAACAGGAGTGAGTTCGACAGAATCACCTTTCGAGTCAATTAAAGGGTCGTAGGAGTTCCGATTGATTGGAGAGCGATATCTAGTGGGTCTGGGGGGGTGACTTTCCTATTATGGGGGTGCTTACAAGAAGAATATCCAAGGGGACATCGGAGTTTGCTCGTAGGTGACGCTACGACCCTATCCACCCATCAAAATGATGCGTTTGAAGGGAGTGTGAAGTGTGGAGAAAGTGTGGAGTGGGAAAGTTTCTCACAAAAGAGGTCACTTTTTCTTCCCACTCCATGATAGGACTTCATGCTGACCACGTAGCTTCTCCACTCCGCCCGCTCCATCCATCGAACCGACGAGAGTACGTCAATTTCCACACTACACGGAGAGTACTTCTCCCTCAAGCTCAGTACGGATTCTCCCCGGCACTCCCATGGTATCGAGGTAGGTCGTTTGTCAGCTGAACTCTCAGTCTCACGCTACCTGCTGTGACTGACGAAGTAGAATCATATCATGGCCGTCACTCGCATACATCTATCATAGCTGTTTGACTACCTGGTCTCCTCCGATTCGCGGCGTATCCGGTCGTAATTACTTTCAATGGCAGGGCTCTGCTGATTTTTGTATCGGGTGAGCAGATCTGTATGCCGAGTTGGCCTTGACCCCAGATCAAGACTTCCCTTGCCTGGTGGGACGATGTTTCCTGCGTCCCATCTCAGAAGCTCTCTATAAAGTTCGTCGAAGAACAGCCACCGCGCCTTCTCGAAGTACCTTTCCTCTTGGTAAGTTTGGAAAATCGTAGCGCCTCGATCGCTGGTCCATTGAACAGTGCTTATGGCATCCCACATGGCGTCCCCATCTGGTTTTGAGAGACCCAAATCACCTGCCATACGTTCCTTATCGGCGGGAGAGAAGTCTTTGGTGTATCCTGCCGACACCAGCGTGTTCACGATGGACAACAACTCTCCATGGAGACTTTTGGCCTCTTCGGTTTCCGTGTCTTTGGCGTACAGGATCGGGGGGGGGGGGGTGTTGGGTACTGTCTCTCTGTCATAGACTCTTCGAACATACTTCAGGGCATCAGCGTACTTGGAGATCAGTGTTGAGGCAGTTGTTGATAACTGACTTATTCGATCTGAGCTCATTGTCAACTCCATGATGTGTGATTGTGTGTATGCTGAAAGCTTAACACATCTTCCTGATAGTACTTATACTTCAGAGCACCACCAATCAATAACCACTGTCCTGCTTCTCCACCCTCAATAATATCCACTATGGAGCTACCCCGATCGGGCCATGGAGTACGACTGCCGCTCCAAAACCGCTCCGACGAGTCTCGAACTCGACCCGAGGAACCGATAACACAAGGAGTGCGAGGATGATGGGACGGGGACACGTACGATCCTTCGATCGGGTCCCACACTTGGAGCGATACCGACAAGTAGATAGCACAGGATGGTTGTGGGGACAGCTTCAAACTCAAGATACGCGCAACTCAACGCCTGGCTCTCGTCAAGCCCGCATGAATTCCCAAAGGGTCTCTAAGTAGGAAGATATTGCAGGGTGTGGATACTAGGCTTCTTGTAGGACCGTTTGGCAAAACAGAACCGTGGTGGCTACAAAAGCTGGAATGGAGTACTCTGTCAGTATCTAATCAGAATTTCTATGCTTTATGCGTATGATACTGATGCGCAGCAATAGGTCTCGTCGAAATCTGCATGGTCGTCGTCATCATCATCATCATCATCATCATCATCATCATCATCATCATCATCATCATCATCGTCTTCTTCTTCTTCTTCATGTGTATGGCCTTCATGAACCGCTGTGGGATATGTCAGGTCGGCAGAACATGAATCACATAAGCTGTAAGACATTTGGCAACTAATGCTAAGCTTGAGTAGGAGTGGAAAGTGTTGGGTCAAATCTGTCTTGAGAGGCTGTCAGTAGTGTTGTTGCACGTTCAGATTCAATCTCGTTGAGGAGACCGTCGAGCCACAGCAAGGTACGACGCCTTTGCTGTAGGGTGGGAAGTACTTGACCCCATGAGTTTGGACTCAGTGCAATGCCATCCTTGAAACTACTTTGCTCCCAATCATCCAGATATGTTTTCTGCTCATAATTGTATTTTGGCTGTGATGGCTGCAGCTGTGTGTCAACATCAACTGTGAGCCTCAAGCAGGCTTCCAATATCCATTCGTTGATGTCATATGAAGGTGGATGACCATTCGAGTCGAGTCTACCTGTCAAAAACAACTGTCGTTCCTTCAACATCTGAGAGGGTGAACTTTCACCCAAAAAGAATTTCACCGTATTGGCAAGAATTGTGATATTTCGATGATATCCCCCCGCTTGTTGCCAAGTCAACGGTCTCCTTTCTGCCCAAGATGTGTTGGACATTTCCAGTGCATGCATCAAGTCGTAGATCCCGTTCATAGTATCTTTGTACTTTTGGACAACTGTTGCAAGTTCCTTCCCTTGTTTGACGATCTCTGCGTTTGACGGGAATTGGGCTGGCCTTGGCTTCACAGTCATGTGTCGTAGGGAGCCGTGAAATGTCGCGAGCCCCTTTTGATTTGACGTTTTGCTATCTGAACCGGCAGCAGACGCTGTCTTGATACTCTCCTCAGCTAGATCAAAGATTTTCGTGAGCTGGAGCAACACATGCTTCACGGTTTGCTGACTGCCCTGTCGTCGACTATCGTACACTTTGGTACGACTTTCGTCCGACAGGCCTCGGAAGCGATCGACAAATTGCCGAAGGGAGTTCCATGACGCTTCGATATGTCGTATACTTGGGGCAAAATCTTTGCTTTTATATGCTCCCTCAATTTCTTCAAACCGATGGAGGATTCTCTCAAAATTCAGCAGTCCGTCAGCAGTAGAGGACATTCAGTCTAGTAAGGACTAGTATGTGTCTGTGGAGAGGGTGGTGTGATAGGATTGGGATATCTGAGTCTAGTTAGCTTATATACACGCTTGAGGTTCAATTTGGCTCATGACGTAGTTCCTTCTCAAACGAGGGGGTCATGGCGGATCAGGCGAAATCTACTCGAACATGGGCGTGAGAGGTAGATGACGATACCGGGACTAGTGTGGATCTTGAGAAACTGCGCACACTGCCTTCGACTTACTCACTACGAGCTCCTCGTGGGAACAAACTCTCCACGACATATCTTCAGTAATCGGATACGTAAGCCGTCTCACTTGAAATCCAATCATTCATCGTTCCACACCCTCGCTGTCAGGATCACGCGGTACCACGGGTACCTTACCTTGTAGTCGTACTCTTTTCCATTCCCGTCCCCGTCTCCATTCCCGCGTCCGGGCTTACTCCGTTTGCTACTACGCCTGGTTCCACTCATTCGACACCTCTACCCTTTTTCACATCTCCGTCTCGGTAACTATCATCGCTCTTCCTCTCCTATTCTACCTCGACTTCATTCCAAACTACGCATGCTCTTATCGGTATCACTCCGCTCTCTTTTTAGTATATAGACGTAGTCTTTTCTCAGCAATGTCTTGTCGAATGTATTTTGTGTTTTCCTAGTTATATCATTTGACATACATCTCATCGATCTTACAGATCTCTTCGATACACTACATCACTAGGTTTGTTCCCTACAAGGCCTCATTGTCATAGCTCATCGACGCAGACTATCCCGACGTCTGGTCCTTACATAAAATACATTCGACCTTACTTGTACCGAACAAGACCTAGGTGATTACCAACAACACGTTATCGGTTGTTAACAATGTCCCTTCCTGATTCACCCACCTTTGATCGCACATCTGTCGCCAATCTTCGCGATTTTCGACATGATCGTCGCACTTTCCAAGCTGAACTCCAAGAGATGCGTCAGCATCACCAAGAACAAAATCAAGTCATTATTCAGCTTCAAGCAGAACTTGCCGCTCTTCGAACAGCGCCGCAAGCGGGGAATCGTCCTGCAGAAGGACAGGGGACTCTCGAGAACCTGAGACAAGAACCTACAGTGCACGGGTTCTCTCCCAACGTGGCGGTAATGGGTACAAATGAACCCGACCCGCATTCCAATCACTCCTCACCAAATTCCAACCACACGTCGTTGAATTTGAATGACGCGTTGCCAGCTGTCAATCAGCAACGTCCAATTCATACTCAACCAATTCCAATTCCGACAAACGCACATCGGGGCCAATCACACCTCAGAACCCCATTTACTAGTACTCCATTCTCTCAGACTCATCCTGAACGGTTCAGACAGGGGACTTACGAAAGGCAAGGTGAACATATGAATTCCAACTACGACTTGTTGGGTTCAGACATAAGAAAGATTGATATCAAGACCCCCGACACGTTTCACGGGAACGGGGACAAGGTTGATGCTTATGTGGCTGAAGTAAGGCTTTATCTGGATCTTAGGGGAAGAGGCATGAACGATAGATTTAGAGTTTTGTGGGCGGCTAGTTATTTGAGGGGGAAAGCAGGAAGGTGGTGGCAAGCGTACTACGTCAAGTCGGAAAAGGACCAGCCAGAGTGGGCTTTCAACTTGAGCCTTTTCTTGGAACAGGTGAAAAGGATGTTTGGAGATCCTGATAGACACCGCTACGCGGTACAACGTCTAAAACGTCTTCGTCAAGACAAGTCGGTATCGGACTATTACTCGTCGTTCCTTTCAATTTCGGCTGATGTCGATTGGGATGACCGAGCACTCAAGGATGCTTTCGAATCTGGACTATCAACAGAAATTCGAGTAGCTCTCGCAAATCGGGAACACCAACCTCAAACTCTTAAAGAGCTTGCAGACGCTGCAATTAGTCTTTACGTTCATCTAGAAGGTGTCAAAACTTCTTATCAATGGAACAATAATTCTGGTGGACAGGGCAACCGTAACAAAGAAGGGGATAGACAGAGGACAAACACACCTAAAGGAAATCCTACTACGTCTTCTCCGAAATCTACATATGGTCAGCGCGATTCCAACAACCAGAATGTGAAGAAAACAGACTACAACAAGTCCAAATCCAACTCTAGTAGGAAAAGTCTCACCTACGACGAGAAGAAATACAGACGAGACAACGGGTTATGCTTATACTGTGGCAACGCTGGCCACATGGCTAGCGCGTGCCCAGAAGCAAAGAAGAAACCACCAGTAACAGGGTCAAATAAAATCAAGCTGAACACCCTTACCGTAGATAATGGGTACCCTAGGAGGGAAGAGACGTTGTTGGAAAGGGAAACCTTGAAGGAGGAGACAGAGGAAACGAACCATGTCCACTTCTCGTCCATGGTCAAGGAATCAATGATTTCAACTACACCTAGTAGTATTCCAACCACGCCCATCTCCGTTCCAAACAACAACCAATCACTTATCACAATTCCTGTTATTGTTATCGGTCAACCAAATGTACATTCCCGAGCCATGGTAGATAGTGGAGCAACAGTGGACTTTGTAGACGAAGGATTTATTGAACGTTCTCATCTCAAACCTACCACAAAGACCCAAGTCGAACGACTCCGTTTACCAGATGGCGCTACACGCCTTCTGACCAAGGAAATACGTCTTCGAATACTGTTGGGTGAAGGTTTTGAGGTGTACGAATCAACCTTCACAGTCACAAAAATCCACCCTGCCCCTATCGTCCTTGGGCTCACATTTTTGAACAAGATCAACCCAATTATCGACTGGTCAACACAGACTTTGATTCCACGCTCGTTGGAAACCAACAACAGGTTTCAATTCCTAAATATTATTAGCCCAGAAGCTTTCGATCAAGAGGTAGAACCTACCGATATTAGGGGTGCTGTTTACGCACGGACTGTACCAGAAGACGAAACAGAACCAAAGCAAATCGTACCAAAAGAATATTGGGACTATCTAGATGTTTTCTCTAAAGGAGGAGCAAATAAACTGCCTGAACATCGTCCTTTTGATCACCGTATACCCCTGGTTGAGGGCAAAACACCTACTTTTGGACCCATATATTCCCTCTCCCATATTGAACAAGAAGCTCTCAAAAATTATCTCGAAGAAAACCTGAATAAGGGCTTCATCACTCCATCAGAAAGTCCTGCTGGAGCTCCAATCTTGTTTGTTAAAAAGAAAGATGGATCTCTACGGCTCTGTGTGGACTATCGCAGACTGAATGAAATTACAGTCAAGAATCGTTACCCTCTACCCCTTATCGGAGACCTATTGGACCAACTTAAATCCGCCAACATTTATTCCAAAATTGATCTACGTGGTGCTTACAACCTACTACGCATAGCAAAAGGGGATGAATGGAAAACGGCTTTTCGTACAAGATACGGTCTTTTCGAATATAGGGTAATGCCTTTTGGACTCACGAATGCTCCTGCGTCCTTCCAACACCTCATGAACCACATCTTTAGGGATATGCTGGACAAGAACGTCATTATATATCTAGATGACATCCTTGTTTATTCCCCAGATATCCAACAACACGTTAAAGATGTCCGACAAGTGTTAGAAAGACTTCGTCAACACAAGCTGTTCGCCAAACATGATAAATGTGATTTTCATGTTCAAATGGTCGAGTTCCTAGGATATGTCATTCGACCTGGAGGGATAGAAATGGATCCGAAGAAGGAAAAGTCAATAAAAGAATGGCCTAAACCGAAAACGGTCAAGGAAGTTCAATCCTTTCTAGGGTTTGTTAATTTTTATCGAAGGTTCATTGCAGGGTTTGCACATATAGCTAAACCCCTACATGGACTTACCAGGAAGGGGATATCATTCTCATGGGACGAGAAATGTGACAAAGCTTTCGAAGAACTTAAAATTAAAGTTGGATCAGGACCAATATTACGGCATTTTGATCCAAAATTACCGTGCATTGTGGAAACCGACGCTTCGGATTATGCCCTTGGTGCAATCCTTTCACAGCATGAAGACAACGTACTACGTCCAGTTGCTTTTGCTTCACGAAGCATGGCACCGGCGGAACTTAACTATCCGGTGGCCGAAAAGGAGCTGCTCGCAATAGTATATGCCTTTAAGGAATGGCGCCAGTACCTAGAAGGAACCGAAGTACCGGTAGTAGTCCTTACGGACCACCAAAGTTTACAAGTTTTCCTTACCACGAAGCAACTCACAAGAAGGCAAGCTCGTTGGTACGAATTCTTGTCGGAGTTTAACTTTATTATCCAATACAGACCCGGCAAGCAGTCGACGAAACCGGACGCGCTGTCCCGCAGAGTCGACTACAGGCCGTTGGATGTTAAACAGACCTCATTATCTTCAGAACTCAATGATCATAATAACCATCCACTGCTTACCAGCGAACAACTACTTCTCTCCATGATCAAACTACAAGGGGACAAACATTTCGTGAAAACCCAGGAGGAACGGCGTCGAATTATCCAACATGAACATGGTGGAAAGGATGCTGGACACCCTGGTTGGAGAGTAACATTAAGAAAAATTAGCGAGTTGTGGTTTTGGACTGGGATGAAAGAAGATATTAGAAAGTATTGTGAAGAGTGCGAAATCTGTCAACGCACCAAAGCAAGACGTCAAGCCCCTGCTGGTTTCCTACAACCCCTAGAAGTACCCGGAAAACCATGGGCTGATATTACTTGTGACTTTATTGGACCCCTACCCAAATCAAACAATTTTAACTCAATCTTGGTAGTTGTCGATAGGTTGACGAAAGTGGCTGTCTTTATTCCCACCGTTACCACTATAACTGCAGAAGATTTTGCGGAATTATTCCTCAAGAAAGTGTACACAAGATTTGGTGTACCAGACTCAATTGTGTCTGACAGAGGATCTTTATTCGTCTCTAGGTTTTGGAAAACCTTCAACACATTGTTGGGAACGGACTTGAAGTACTCAACAGCGTACCACCCACAAACCGATGGACAGACGGAGAGAGTAAACCAATGGCTTGAACAATACCTTAGAATCTATGTCAATACGGAGCAAGATAATTGGAGCTCCCTTTTACACTTTGCTGAGCTATGCTACAATACAAACTGGCATAGCTCCATTCAGATGTCCCCCTTAAAAGCTTACTCAGGGCGGGACTATAGAACCAACATGATGCAGCCTATTTACGACAAGGCTACACCATTTCCTTCTCCACGTGCTACCGCAAGAGTTACAGCTCTAGGTAAACTTCAACAACGCCTAAAAGAAAACCTACAACGTGCTCAAGAAAACTATAAACACCAATACGACAAAAAACATAGAAATATTGTTTTCGACGTAGGTGACAAGGTTTGGTTGGACTCAAGGAACTTAAAATCATTAAGACCCACAAGAAAATTGGATCACCGCTTCGTGGGACCATACAAGATTATCCAGAAAATCAATGATAATGCCTACAAGCTAGATTTACCAAAAGAGATGTTAGCAAATAAGATACACCCAGTATTCAACGTAAAACTACTTGCTAGATCTAAAGGACAAGTGATTGAATCAGAACCAGCCTTGGTAACTTCCAAACAAGACGTGGTAGAAGAGGAGGAAGACCTCTACGAGGTTGAAAAGGTGATAGGGAAAAGGAAAATCAGACTACCTGGTCGTAACAAGGCCGAAGAACAACTTAAGATTGTCTGGACTGGATTCCCTGAAGGGGAAGCCACTTGGCAACCGTTGGAAACCATCAAAACCAACCCAAAAGTTATAGAATTCTTAAAGAATTCCAACAATTCGAGGATGGATTCCAACAACACGTCGTTGGGTACCAATGTACTTCATACAAAACGACACAGAAAACCAACTGCTAAGTTGCGTTTTGCTGAGACCCTTTAGGGGCTCAGCAAATAACAAATTTCAATAATACTTCGACATGACGAGAAAAGATTGCATGATGATACTCTTCTATGAACAAATTTGATGCTATCTACAGGTAGTAGGCTTCATTCCACCCGTACCACACAACAAAGGACACGATAATTGATACAAAAATCTATGCCTCGACTTCCTCGCCAGCGTTACCGGATTCACCCTCCACTTCTTCCGTTTCGGTGGTGGTATGAGAGGATTTACTCTCATCCTCGTCACTTTCCTCAATCGACGGTTCACTTGGTTCAGAATCAGACTCGAAATCGTCTACAGCCTTCTGTTTTCCTTTCGACTTCTTATACTTCTTCTTAGACGAACCAGTTTTGGCGATGGGGACCGGTCTTCGTTTCTTGTCCGGCAAAGCAGAGTATGCCCACCGAACATTACAGTAATCGGGGACTTGGATACCAACTACGTGTCCGAAACGATGGGGAATGGGTACACGGAAATCGGGACCAGATATTTTACATTCGTTTAGCTTCTGAAGGTTAGGAACTACGTGTGGTAGGAAACAAACACGCACTACACAAAGATCAAGTACACTGGAATAAACATCATTAACTTGCTGTTTGACAGCAACCTGAACTGCATCTTCTTCGTCGATCCTTACACCATAACGGTGAGACAAGAGGATGGCATTCGCCATGGCTTTATCGAGTGTCGTGTACATAGCCTTCCATTGGGTCATTGAAAATTTTAATTGGTCACGGGGACCTATACGGGAATCAACAGCGAAGGAGCATGTACCACGGTCGACCAGGCACCAGTAACAACTAGAAATTAACGAACTACACCTGGTACGAAACTATTTAGAACTCACTGTCCACAAATATGATACTGCTCGGAACCCGAAAAGCGGATAACGGGTACCAAACACGGCCACTTCTTAGTGAAATCCTGCCAGCGGGAAGGTTTGGAAAGCATGTCTTCACAACAATTACAAGGTTCAGACGCGTACCCTACGATGGTCTGCTCAGTACCAAGAACAGAAAGTACGAGATCGACCTTGGCCCTTGTGGATTCAGCCTTCGTCGACTTCCATAAACGAAGGTAATGGATAAAATTCTACTAGTCAATATTCAAAACAAACAACGTGTGGTAGGAGACGTACTTGGACTTTGTTAGAAGACACGTCCATAGCTTGAAGAACAATATCGTGGTACGAGTTCTGTCGACCACCCGGTTTGGGAACAACGATGAGGGGTCCTTCACGATAGGGAGGTCCGGAAGCCTCAACACCACCTTTAATTTGTTTATTTCGGGGAGTTTGATACTCGACGGCGGTAGAAACTTCCCGGAGAGGTGTAGAAGGAAACGGAGCATCGGTAGAAGGAATCGGAAGATCGGCAGGAGGATCAGGATCATGAGGAAAAGGAGTTAAATGACGTGGATTGGGGGTTTCTTTACGACCTTGACCAACACGTTGCTTGGAGGGACCGGCGACGGCAACAGGTGGAGGAGAACGAACAGGAGGGACTTGAGATCCGGAACGGCGACCTTGAGATCCAGAACGGCGACGCTTGTTAGCCTATCTCGTCAGCCAGTCCTCCACCACAAAATCGAGGTTTTTTTTCGTTTCTTTCGCACGGATCATGGTACTCGTACTCACAGACGCTTCGGTGGCCTTTTTCAAGGACGCAAGTTGTTTACGAGTAACCATTGTTAGTAAAAGTGTTGTTAGAATGGAGAAGGTCAGAAAAGAAATGAGTAAAGAGGTAAAGAGAAGAGACGAGAAGAGAAGGAATCGAACTACACGACGAGGGGAACATTATTTGATAAGTAATGACACGTCATGACCACGTGGAATTCCTGACAACCATCAAATTCTCTTAACAACCATCACGATGACGTCGAGACGACGTCTACCGAAGGAGGGGAGTAATGTCAGGATCACGCGGTACCACGGGTACCTTACCTTGTAGTCGTACTCTTTTCCATTCCCGTCCCCGTCTCCATTCCCGCGTCCGGGCTTACTCCGTTTGCTACTACGCCTGGTTCCACTCATTCGACACCTCTACCCTTTTTCACATCTCCGTCTCGGTAACTATCATCGCTCTTCCTCTCCTATTCTACCTCGACTTCATTCCAAACTACGCATGCTCTTATCGGTATCACTCCGCTCTCTTTTTAGTATATAGACGTAGTCTTTTCTCAGCAATGTCTTGTCGAATGTATTTTGTGTTTTCCTAGTTATATCATTTGACATACATCTCATCGATCTTACAGATCTCTTCGATACACTACATCACTAGGTTTGTTCCCTACAAGGCCTCATTGTCATAGCTCATCGACGCAGACTATCCCGACGTCTGGTCCTTACACTCGCCCACACGCAACTTCTCATTCTGGTGATTTCTCAATCCTTTCATCCTCTCCACCACCCGCGGATCGGGCAGGCGGTGCAACGTCTTCTCTGATGACAAGTATGCTTGGCAATCAATGGCGTGAGAGCCTCGCTAGTGGATCCACGAGTCGGGCGATACTCCAAATCCTTACGGGCGAGTCTGACCGCGGCCTGGAGTGGACGACCTGAGCTGACAAACATTTCACACATCACATATAAGCGACGGACGATTGAGGCTGTGACTTTGTCGTGGGAAAGATGTGGAGATTGGTGAGTGAAGAGAGTGACGTATAATTGCCGGAGGAAATCGTAGACCAGTGGAGTGAATGGGGTGTTTAGAATATGGTAGAACGTGTGAAGATAGATGTCGAATTCGGCAACTACCAATACATTTGGAAAGAGTCGGTAAGTGGAGCAGTGGTGTCGTGGGAGTTATCGTTCGAGATTTGAACATACAGGTGACGTATGTTAGTCGAGGTGAAGGTGGACCAGTGGAGTCATGGAGCAAAGTGGGCCGGAAAGTGGAGCAGATAGCGTGAGGATAGATGTCGAAGTTTGTGATCTCTGTACGTGAGAAAAGTTCGTAAATGAGGCTGTGGAATTGCGACGTGGTTCGAGACTTCATGGGAGAAGGGCGACGTACAACTTCTCATTTTGAGAGGGGAAGGAAGGGCGGTGGAGCAGTGGAGCAGTGGAGCAGATAGCTTGAGTAACGTGGGACTGAAAATGTGAAGACTGATGATGTGTCAGTTGACGACTCTCCTACCAAGATGAAGACCAGACAACTCACTATGTCATCATGTTAAGTGACCAGTTGGAGCGGTTCGAGGCTGGGCTCGCACGTTCGTGGAAGAAGTGCGTATTGACGAATAAATAGCATGTATCATCGACGACATCCATGGACGTGTCCAGAAGCCGATGGAGTCTGCATGATTAATCTCTGCATCACGCCTCGATAACGGACTGACCATCTCGAATTCAGCGGTGGACCTGAGAAGAAGTCAAAGTCAATACATATTTACTGCTGTAATCCTCTGCGACTATCGATAACACCTCACACATTGCGATTCCACTCACCACTAACAGAGCTATCGTCAGTTGAAATTTATTCTACCTCGTCAGCAAGAAAACACCATGATGAAAGAGGACTGAGGTGATGTCATCAACTGACTTGCTTTTCTCAGGATGAAGGGAGGATCTTTGTGAACGATGACGGCTGATCTTCTTCCTTGAACATATCAGCGGGGTTCTAGCTTTCAGAAGACCCAATGACGCAGTCCAGGGAGATCTCAGGGATGAAAGAGAGGAAGCAGGGGTCAAAGTCGATGTGCGGAGTTCTGGAGATGACATCAACTTTCCTGTTCACTCTGTCAGAGTGCTGACAACGACTTACTTCATTTGTTTAGGATGACGTCGTACAGAGAAGGATAGAGCCTGTGGAAGATTGGACTGATGTGATTCTCGAGCTGTTCAGCATGTATGAAAAAAAGCTGTCTGTCATCAGTCAAGCGTCCAGTGTGATATGACAGTATGACTCACCGTGAACAATGGAGATCGTTTGGTCCTGGACCCGTAAAAGAGCATTTTCGCAGAAAATCGAGAGAATTCAGATATGGAAATCGAAGTGAAAGCTGGCTACATTGAACGTGAAGATGAGAGACGGTCGTCAAGGATACAGGATCTCATTTCGTCAGGACCCCTTTGGGGAAGGGCCATCATTCCATGGACTTAGTGCAGGAACAAGGACGTGGTTTCCGGAGACGCTCCCTTTGCGCTTGATCTCACTCAATTTCCTATTCCAGCAAGAACGGTTAGTTCAGTCACTGCCAACTGCAGATACATACGAGCACTACGTTCGTGGTCTACTATCGTCAATCATTGCATGCTCAACAGTACCAGATCAGCATCAGCACAGTAGAGTATCGTGAGCCACAAAACCTGCCTGTTTCGGTAGGGAGGTAAGTCATCGGGACTTCGCGGTAACCCACGCATCATACTGGAAGCAGCTAACAGATTGGATGTTGTACTCACTGTAGAGTGTACGAGTAGTGGAAAAGTCAAGATCGGGTTCGGGCAAAACATCATGACGAGTGTCCAGAGGGGATCGGATGAAACATCGCCCATAGGCAGATGGTTGTATATGTCTTTGATATAGATCGGATCGTAGCATTAGTCATTGGGGATGGGACTGCTCCCAGAATCAGGCCCCACGTCGTCCGGCGTTCTCAGATTAGGTGTCAGCAGAAGCTGCCCAAGGAGGAAGGAGTATCGGAGAGACGATGAGAAGTTTGATGACCAAACTCGAGTGCTGCCCGACGCGGAATAGCCGTCATATCACACTCAAGAGTATGTTGTGTCCATGAGGGTGGAATTGAACCTGTATCTTGAATAGAACAGAGAGTTTTCATGAGATCTTCCATCAGACAAACAGTCCAAAGTCTTTGTGATGGGTCAAAGTCGACTGGTCGTGTCATCCCGGTCGCTTTGTATGATGGTGATGATAGTGATGCCAGTTCCGAGGTGGAAAACACTCGATTTAGACGTAGTCCTGTTCTCTGAAGTTCTTCATCTCGCTTCGCCTCAGCCTTGGAGATACGTTCCACTCCATCTTGCAAGGCCGATAACGCCATGGTTGTGAAAAAGCCATATTCTTGCCAAGAGGCGGTTTCGAGACCGCGCAGAGATGCTGTCAGTGGTGAAGCCAATCGGATAAATTCGCTGACATTTTCATGATAGTCTCCCACGTCTTCCCAATTCAGTTTGAGGGATGAGGGTGGGATCAATCCCCCATCACACTTGATCAGGAAGAGATCATGGGCGTAGTGAATCAGGTTTGTGAGTTGCGTGAGAGCTTGCGAATATTGTGATGGGGGTTGCAAGGTATCATGGTCCATTATAGGTTCAGCTGGATATGTGTTGAGGTGGCTTCGATCCACGTTACTAAAAAATGGGTGATCCATGAGAACGTTCAATACGAGTGATAGGGATGTTGTTGGTAAGGAATGTGGGCAGTCGATGAGCACAAACAGTACGAGGAGCGATGTTGACGTAGAAGCAACCGCGGTGATGAAATATTCTGCCCAATATAATTTAAGGTCAGAAGTCGAAGACCCTGGAGAAGCCTGGGAATGATGACGCAAGGGAACGAACGAATGATGACGGACATAAAAGGGACGTGTATGGAGATCTAGATGTTGCATGTTGCACAGCTTGATTGGCTTAGAGATCCGAGTTAGCTATTGTATGACCGTCTACGTACGTCGAGTGCCCAGAAGACGAGAAGGAGAAGAAGAAGGAGACCGTGAGAAGTGGGGGCAGTGACTTGGTTGGCCAAAGTGGAGGGGGCAGGCCTAACTTGGTGTGTTACAGAGCCTGCATGCCTATGGAGAGAGTATGTTGTTGTAAGTCACTTTCCGATGTTTTCGCGAGCCTATCTGCTCTCCGTTGCAGCACCTAGCGGGGACCCGAGTAGCCGTCCGCATTGACATTACCCATAAGTACATTCCACTTTAACATCTCGGTCGCTCAAAATGTCTGCAACAAGTCCTAAGCGTAAAGCCAACACCGCCGTCTCTCGTGCAGAGCAAGAGAAAGATCGTCTCGTCAGACAAGCTCAATCTCAAGTACAAACATGTCCGTTCTCCATTCCTCTCTTCCTCTCTTCCACCCCTTCTCTCATCTTCGCCCTCGTTCTGTCATCCTCATAGTGAGATAGGGATATGGCTGACCATTCCAGCTCATCTCACACCCCTCAAAATATATCTGATAATATACAACGCTCTTTCACTCCTCCTCTGGACTTACATCCTCATAGTCATCACCACATTCATCCTCACACCCCGATCTTCACCCATATCCATCCCATCACGATGGCTCTTCCCTCAAAGTGACTTGGTAGATCGGTTATACGCACATTTTGGTGGGAGCTGTCAATACCATAATCTCGGCGAAACGGTAAAATGGACTCAAACTCTTGCCGTTTTTGACGTGTTACATGCTGTACTGGGATTAGTGAGGAGTAGTCCGGGGACGGCTTTGTCTCAAGTCGCAAGTAGGCTATGGGCCGTTTGGGGTGTTGTGGAGCTTGTGCCTAGTGTATGTTGGTTCTTCTTTGAATCTTCCTCTTCCTGTGTGTTTTATCCATTCCCCATTACACAATTTATTTCTCTCTATTTGATCTTAAACCTCTCACAAACTCACCAGAAGGGAATATGAATCACGCAGGGGTGGTAATGCTAGGAAGTTCACGTAGGATGATACACTGATTGATAGAGTGGTAATCACCCTTTATACGCCACCATGGTCCTCGCTTGGTCTGTCGCTGAAGTATTGCGATACAGTTTTTACACATCGTCCTTGTTTGGTTACCAGATTGGGCTTATCGATTGGCTACGGTGAGTGATATCATTTAAGTTCCAATTCTCTCTTCTTGACCCCATGACCTATCCTCACTCCACGGCTTTCACTCCTCTTCGTCTCATATCAGATTATATACCTACCCTCCCTGCACAACATTACATCTAACTCCCATCATGTCAAGCATAGACTACCATATCTATGTTCTGACAAGATGCTAGTTTTATCACACGGATTGCACACAAATTTGAAGAAGAAAACAGACTGACATGAAAGATACAACGCTTTTTACATTCTCTACCCTGTCGGTGCCTCATCCGAAGCATTCTTATCTTATTCGACTCTTCCTCCTCTTTCAACATTCCATCTTCCTTCTTTATTCTCATCTCTCTCATCTCTCTCTACAATCCTCGTTCATCTCCCAACTAACATCCGTACTGCCTTGATATCGAGTAGTCTTGGCAGGGCGGTTTTGTGGAGAGCTACCAAAAGTATATTGGAGGATAAAATGAAGATGAGATGGAGTTGGATGGAAGTATTGAGATTGATTTTGTTTTTCCTTTGGTGGCCTTGTGAGTTCTCATCTTAAATTCTCAATCCGTATCAACTGGTCGATGACCATCATTTGTGTTGTAGCGTTTCATCCACTGAAACTCTTCACCGTCGCATCTTCTCATCACGATACTCCTTTAGATTCTCAATTCTTGTCACATTACGTATTCTACATATAATTCTGTCATTCCTCTCGTTGAAGAACTCTTTGCTGTCGTTTGCTCAAATGTTGCGTCCAGAATAAGGCCCAAAGGTCGCAGAGCGGATGGAGATACTACTATATATTGGCAATGTTGAAGTCGGGCTGAAGTACAGCGCTGTATATACTCATGTCACATATGTCTCGCCAAAGACGAAAACACATGTCCAAAAATAAATTAGGAAAAGATAAAACCCTGTGAAAACCAGTAAAATGCCTCAAATGTCAATGTAAAACAATATTGTCCATCTCGATATCACCAAATATTCAAGCAATTCGTTCATGCATATCCCCATATCACCGTATCACCTTTATTGTTACGAGTCGCATAGTAAATTATAGTGGATGCATGTTAATCTGCTAACATAATTCCATATTTCCATACAAGGAAGAAAACTCATTAATTTCTGACAAGATGATCAAGATATCCAAAACCCACCTTTACAGATATTCAGCCAATAACAACTAACCATACACCCCAGATGTACCAAAAAAAAGACATTTCCATTCCAGACCCCATCTCTTTCTCAATCCCCATTTCTCGACATTCGCTCGTTTCTGATTCAAAAGACAAAACAAGTAATGTGCATTTGAAAGATCTTCAAATCTTTATCTCTTGACAAGAGGTATCATTCCAATTTTCGTATCATCCTTACTATCCCTTCTCTCTCCATTTTCCATCCAATCTTCCCCTTCCCTATCCCCTTCCCTTGTACCTGATAAAGTAGGTTCCATACGTTCAGGAGCAGCGACAGTCTTTGCTCTTTTCCTAATATTTAAATTCTCTTTAGTCGATCCCATTGTCACTGTTGTTCTTCTTTCAGGTTTTTCCAATTGGTTTATGGTTCTTCCTTCTTCATCAGAGAGTATAGGTGCTGAATTTGAAGATACGACGATAGTACCGTCTTTCGTGGTTGGGGTTGAAGAGGATAATGGAACACCTAGTGCTTGACGGAGTTTATGTTCTACAGAAATTGTCTTTTTGGTACGGACTGATCCACGCCAGATGAGAATGGCGGCGCTTGATGTTAGTTCTGGTTTATTTACCGTATCGATCAGTGTTTTCCCGGAAGAGAAGCAACACAAGAAGCTCAAGGAGCAGGATGAGCAGGAGGAAGTGAGGAAACAACTCACCCTATACCGCAAAGGAAAGAAAGGGGTATAAGACAACCTGTAGTCCATGCTGGTCTAACGTGCCAATCTGTCACTTAGCATTTACGCTCTTCAACCGAAACATGAAGAGACTCACTAAGACCCCACATTACTCCACTAACACGTCAGCTAGCTCATTATGAGAATGCGCGACATACCATAACATACTATCAATCAGCTTATCTCTCCGTTTTGGGGCAGGGGAAGTCTCACCATTGAAAAGCTGAATTACCGTCCATCAACTTATGAGGTAAGCACTTCTCACATCAGGTACAGAAGCAAAAACCAAGGGAGGGGAAGAGTAACACTCGACATACAATGGTATTCCACAACGCCCAATTGATCGGAAAGGCTGTATGTGTAGCAGTGGCATGGGGACGATACCAAGTTTGACTAGCTGCAAACTTTTCTTGTTGATGACGAAGTTGTTCTTGTTGTTTTTCCGTGAGAACCTGGCAAGTAAGCGTCATACGTATCCCTTTGGTAGTTCTTCAATCATTTTAGTTCTTTATCCAAAAACGAATACATGGAAGTATGCTCCAGAGAGGGAAGGATAGTGGAAGTGGTGCTCGGTACGACTTTGAATGATATGAAGGGATAAGAATACTCACAGATACGTAATCTTGAACATCTATAGGATCCGGTAGATCATTGGGATCATCAATTGGCGGAAGCCCACGTTCTTTTCTCAACTTCGTAGTTAATCTTTTCAATCTCCAAATGATGACCATCCCTGAGATGTAAGTTTCGTACCTCTTTCGCACAATCTTTGTCGCTCCTTCGATAAGGTATTGCATGTGACATTGTTTCAGGGGGATGGGTACGACGTGGGACGCGGATTAAATTTACGACCTGGAGCTGACATTGGACGAGGAAAGCTCAACTCACGATAAGTATCAATCACTCTCCATGGTATCAACCCCACCCCAGTCAAGGTAAACAACCCATTTTCTATCTGACTGCTCCTTTCCACCCACACATCTTTATTATACGTACTACCGACCTTTATCCACCCCAACAAGAACAACACTATCGCTGCTCCCCAAAACGCACATAAAAACCCATAAATGGCTGCAAATGCCCCGATGGGTGTTTTGAGGAAAGTCCAAACGCCCCTCGCCACACGTTGCAACTGCGCCCGTCTACCAGCAGATAGAACATGTCGGACATGTTGATCTAGCTCGTGATCCTTTTCAATTTCAGAGATATCATCTTCAAGTTCGTATTCGTTCTCTGCGTCTTGATCCAGTCGTGGAAGAGCTGCCTCGTCCGGTGCCTCAGATTGAGCTTCGGGTATGGGAGCGGTAATCGGACGAGCTGATAGTGGAGCGGTGGGAGGATACAACCGTGAGACTGTAGCTGATCTAGGACGAGATATCGAGATGCGTCTAGGACGAGGGATGTTGGGTTCTTGTCGGTTCTTATATTCACTGTGAGTCAGATGCCGTGCGCAGGATGAACAATAGCGACTCACTCGACAGGGGCGATACTAGCCGCTGGGGTTTCTGGCAGAATAACTTCAGGTCTTCTACTCCATAATTGAGGTAGATGGGGTATGAAAATAGAATTTGACATGTTTTGAAGATGATTAACTAATTATTCAGCTCTTTGTCTACTCCCACAAATGATTCGACATGACAGATCTTACCTGTTGATACATGAGGATCGATACAATCTAAAACTCCAACAATCTCATCTTGCAGATCCGCAGGTCTATCTTTGACGTTACCTCCAATATCAAAAGACACCGGAGTGGCTGTACTGGCTCTACTATCTCTCCTATGTCTTAACCCAGAGCTCAATCTTCTATCCATGTCCACACTGCTCAGTTCTGTCCCATCCTCGATAGTCCCAAGACGAGAGTTACGGCCAGCCTCAAACTGACTTTTCCTGGCGGATGCAAGAGATACGCTGACTGTATGTGCTCGTCTCCGACCGCCACTTCCTGGACTCTGACCGGCGGGATTTGCAGATGAAGGAGGTGAGATGACGCTGACACGTCTACCATTGGGACCGTTTCCATCATTCGGAGTGGCTCGAGCTGAGAAGGATCGATTTGCGATAGGACGTATGGGAGGCGGACGGGGTTTCGAAGTTGATGCTTGAGGTTGTGTGTCATCATGAATCGGAAGAATGGGATCTTGTGTTGTTGAAGAAGAACGCCGGAATGGGTTCGGTAAGAGAGACATAGTGATTGCTTTTTGAAATGTGCTCAAAGAGATGAGTCGCTCATATGAAGGTGGGAGGACGGGACGAGGATCAGCTTTGTTAGGGAAAGAAAAGAGTGGTTGGTGGGAGAGATGTTGTTAATATCGAGAGCAGATCAAAGGATCAACGCGGGGATTTCCCTCAAGCGTAAGAGCGGAAGCTTCCTTATCAATTGTCACATGAATGACGTGGCTGCTTGGTCAAGTTTCACCGCTTTTAGTACGTCTCGGATAAAAAGAAAAGTTGAAACCATCCGGTCATATGCAATGGTCCATGGTCCATGGTCCACGGTCTACTTGGTATGGCATGGTCTTGCCACTGTACTTCTTTCAGCATCTCCCCTTTTCACTATGCCTATATCTCCCACTTGTCACCTCATCCAAGACAAGGCCTAGACTTGTAAAGGAAGGAAAGGAGAGATCAAGTTGGAGTGACGCATAGACCACCCAATTGTACCGAACCGCGCTTGGGCCTCCTTACCTCCTTGCCCAACCATCTAACTCACCTCTCACTATGTGTCATGACATCTCCCTATCATAGTCTTACTTATAAACCCAGTAACTCTTGCACGTGTACTCTCCCCCTCCTACTCTGTCCACAGGAACTCCCCAAGCTGCCTCTCCAGAGCAACTCCATCGGCACCCGGACACGCCCATCCTTTTCACTCGTACCCCAACCGTACGACCATCACCCGCCCATCGTCCAGGGGTAACAACAAAAAACTCGTCCTCCTCTCAAAAACGTTTCATCTCAAACTTCACTCTAAAGTGCCGACCCGCCCCAGGGACCGTCGCCTTGCACCATACTTCTCCCTCACGTCGTCAACGACGCTCTTTCTGTATTCTGTCATCACACCACAGCTCAAAGACACGTTGCACAGACATCCATCCATCCCTCCCTCTGTCGCTCATAATCTTCAATCTCTCAGATCGTCGGATCTTCACATATCCTCCCTGAACCTCACAAACACTTACCGATAGTACTGCCCTCGAGGGGTGGATCAGCTCCCGAGCGAGATGCACTCTCTGTTCGGTCACAAAAAGGACAAGGATCGTACACCCGCCCATGCGTCAACCGTCCCGTTCAAAAAGGTCTTGCCTCAAACTCCCTCCAAAGGTCAAGCCTCACCATCAGGAGGACAGACCGGTCAATTTGCAGAATTTGGTGCTCTTCCAGCTCCTAGATCATTGTGAGTTTCTATCATCTGCTTATTGAGAGCAATGCTGATGGGAGAAGTACAGTCGGTGGACCAACTTATAGACCTCCGACACCTCCTACTTCCCCACGACAAGAATCACCACCTTTACTACCTCCCAAATACTCCTTCCTACCTACTCGGATACCACCCGTTACCACTTCGTCGTCCAATTCGATCGATTCTTTTGGATACAGCACCGATGAGGTTACTTCAGGTAGGAAGTATGGGATACTAGGGGAAGTTGGCGCGAGGGTAATCTTGAGCTTGGAAGATGTAGGGCAGCTCATACAGGATGTAGGGAAGCAACTTGAGAAACGAGGTGAGTTATCAAATCATCAGGGAACCCGCTCAAAATCCAGGATTGGCAACCGCTTTACTGTTCTCTAATCAAGCATTGGATGTCAATCAAACGAGAATAAAGATGCTCATAGAGTCTTACATGAGTTCTCTGACGTGAGTTGCCTCTTTTAAAGTATCCGACACTTACCATAGTCTGAGAGACAATGGTTCTCGCACAAAATCATCAGACTTTGCACAGGATATTAAATTCGCCAAAGAACACGAACTCGCTTGGCTTCTTCGATGGGGACTAAGTCGTATTACCCGTATCCGAGAGGGAACTCGGGAGCTATGTCATGGTGTGCTAGAATGGGAGGTCTACGAAGAATGGCGAGGTCGTGAACGAGGTGACTTTTTATCACCCTTATCCTTCAGAATCACGACTGATTTTGACAGCTGCCAATTACCCTGCCGACGCTTTCCCCTCCCTCGCTGCTCTCGTAGCGGAGACCGTCTACTCGAAAATTCTCCACCCGATCTTTAGACTCTTGGCAAGATTCGCTGCTCACTCCCATCTCTCCGGACTCACCCCTCATTCTTTATCCTCTCTTTTCGCTCCTCTCTTGTTCGACATCCCAGCATCTTCATCCGCCATGTCCGCTCACGCCGCATACGTACGTGCAGCGTGTGCTACGGAACATCTTCTCCTCTCCCACATACGTTCCTCCGGCTCGAATAAGACTGGTCTTGGAGTTAGTGATCTTCCCGCTCGACTTCAAGAGTGGGTCCGAGGTTATCCATCCATGGTAGCGTCAGATGCCGATTTAGCACGAGGCCAACCAAGACGAGGTGCCCGTGTGGTCCGCTGCGAACGTGCCTCGCGACAAGTTCGAGCATACTCCCGTGATCTGGTCGTACAGGCGGAGCTATGGGCTCAAGACGTTCCGGGGAAATGGGAAGCATGGGAAAGGGTCGTACTGAAGAACAAACGGGGCAATGCGGCTAGACCAAAATTTTCGTCAGATTATAGAAAGAAAATGTTGGTCAAGGACATGCTTCCCCTTCCTGCTTCCAGCAGCGAACTGGGTAGAAAAATCTCATATGGTAAGGCAGCACGACCAGGAACCATCAAAGGCAAGCTGGATGGGAGACCGCTCGAGGAAGATGGGGATGGCGCGAGGTGGGGAAGTTTGGCTGGGAAAGAATGGAGCATGTTCGAGGAGGGTGGTTTTGATGCTGCTGCGGGGGAGAAGAAGGAGGATATTAGGAGTAAACTTCAGTTTGATCTGAGTGAAAGTGCAAAGAACGTGAGAGCCCTCTTCTTTCACCTCACTTGCCTGTATCTGCTCTGCTTGGCTGATGCCACCACTGACTATGAACATTGTGATCGCAGTTGGACTATGGGATCGGTCAGGGTCTGCACATCAACTAACTTACAGAGTCTCAAAGCTAGAAGAGATACGATGGACTGGACCGAGTTCGCCTCCAGTACAGGCGGTTTCAACCGTACCGACCCCCTACTCGACATATCACTCACCTTTTCACAGCCCATCGCGGTATCCATTACCGAATGGCCGAAAGAACGTGACGAACTACGTAAAAAGCTTCAAAAATCTCAGAAAGAAGCTGTCCCGTTCGCCTACGACACCACCCCGAAAGTTGGCACCGAGGTAGCCCTGGATCCTCATGCTCGGGCCGATAGTACGGGGAGGGTATATATCGAAGAGTCTTTCGTAGATGTATGGGCGGACTTGATGATGGGTGGGGGATGGATGGACAGGGATGAGTTGACGTTCAAAGAGGCAAATTGGGCTGTGGTGAGTGATTCGGCCTCCCCAACATATGGCCCGCACTTCCTAAGAGTGACACGGATTCTGTGCATCGTACTTAGAGCGTGTTCAAGTAGCTGAAAGGAGAAGCTGACAGCAAGATTGAATACAAAGCTCGCCCTGGTAGACCAGAATCGGGCTCCCTAGATCCAAGGGAAGATCCTCGAACTTCCGACCTGTACTTTCTGTTCGAAGAGAGAGTCCCTTTCGTGAGTCCTCATCACTTCACGACATTCATAGAGTTGACATGATAGGAATATCAAATGGCCATCGCCGATCCGAAAATGAAGAAAACATTCGCTACACTTTTCACACCCAAATCGAAGAAACGTACCACCTCACAACTTCACGCCCTCCCCGTTACGCCAGAAAACGATTTTGACAGAATGCTCATGTCTCGATCTCAAACACGTAAACTCACACTGGATTCTGCAGCTCCCAAAGCCACTGTATATCATATGAATGCCGATCCTGGATCACCTACCAAACCTGTTTCTCCATCAAAGACAAATACTTCCTCCAAGACTGTCCGTCCTCGTTCTAGATCGGGAGTGAGAAGAGATTCAGTGGAAGAAGCTAAGGTCCATGAAGGCAAAGCGAGCTTTTTCGGAACGAAGACGGTGAGAAGGGTCAAGACTGATGAGTCACAGAGAGAAACAGCTAGAAGACAAAGACAAAGAGAGACAGAAGTCGATTATGAGTTACATTCTGCCTCAGGGGCGAGTTCGGGTGGTGGGAGTCCGCAAGAGGCGGGACATCGACGTGTGAAGGATGAGGATAAGTGGATGGGTGAGTCTGTTTTTGGCTTTTGTACTCACAGTCTACTTGTCATCATTTGGCTCCGTGTCTACTGAATTTGCCCGTTCCCGTCATAAAGCTGTCGATTTGGGTTTTCATTTCACCCACGATCACTTCCATATCATTTACTGAACACGCTCAAGTGTCGTACGAGTAAATGAACTCTCTTCTCCTGCTAGTTCCTCTCATACACCACCCTGCACTCTTTTTTCTTCTCCATCCCACATAAGGACGTCATTTGAAGAAGAGGCTGGTCGATAAGAACGTGTCAGCTGACCTACTCAGACATTCTCATCGCACATGGAGCAAGACGTATGGACCGTCAAGCTGCTCTTCCTCCACCTCAAAACCTCGGACTTCCCTTATCACCTCATCCACCAGGTCGATCTCCCTCTCCTCGTATTCATCAACCTTCAGCTTATCATACCCCCGAAACATCAGATGAATCTCCTCCCGTTTTCCCACGTCCCGCTGCCGAACGCACGGAATCACTTCCCATGCCCACCACAACAGGTTTTTCACCTTCTCAAGACGTTTCTTCCGAAAACGCATTAGCGGCAGTTCAACAAACATCATCATATGATGAATCTTTCTCACCTCCCAGATCTCCTAGACCATTACCTCTCCTACCTAATCCTTCATCACCAGGAAATAGAAATCCTTTACCTCCTATCCCCGGATCTAAATCTCCCATTCATGGAGCTTTACCCCCTATCCCATTAGGAGCTCCTCTTCCTCATCCTGCTCATGGTGCTTTACCTCCAATACCTAGAAACCCATCTCCATCTATTTCTCAACAGGGCGAATTGGAAATACTCTCACCTCGTCCTCAAAAATCTCCACGTGGTCAAAGAGATACGATCAATGATATAGTCGGACATTACGCACCAAGTCATAGAGAATCTTACGTTTCAGATACAGCTTACGTTCCGGGGGATGGTGGAACAAGAGATTCTGAAATTATATTCGAACCTGTTGATGAATATGAATATGGGTCTGAAGTCGGTGTGATTCAAGAACCTTCTTCTACTACGGATAATGGGACAGGATCAAGTGTGACTGATGAAGGTGATCAAATTTCAAACTTGAATAAAATGAATCAATCGGGTATGGTTGGACAAATGAATAAAGGGGAACAAGATGAGATTGGTAAAATCGGACAAGTTGGGAATAAGAGTGTGGGTAAAGGTGAAGAAGCTTTGAAACCACCTACAAGAGTATTTGATTTAACTCCTGGTAGAGAACCTAGTCCAGCTAGGTATAGACATGGTGAACCACTTCAATTTGGTACGTTTTGAAGTTTTGTTTTTACCCTCATAATTCATCTTTCTTTCATCTTCTCCATCTTTCTCTTCATCTTCATCTTTCTTCCATCTTCTCCATCTTTCTTTTATCTTGTCCGTCTTTCTTCCATCTTCTCCATCGCTCCCATAGTCCTCACTTTCCCTACCCTACCTTACTCCTTTTTTTCACTCGTCTTCATCCTAGTTGCTTAGAGCGATTCCGATCCCGATCCCGATTCCGACCTCTATTTTCCCGTAAGCGAAGGGTTTTGGGGACGAGGACAATTCACACTTACTGATCTACAGTGGGGGAAGAACCAGAAGAAGAGTAATCTTCACCTCATTCATCTACTTTTGTGTATCTAAAAATATGTTGTGTATATAAAAATGTGTTCATCAGGGATGGACTTGCATGTTTTCTTTTATAACTTGACTCTTCATCTGCATGTGATTATTGATGTCATTGCTTATATTTTATCTTGCATATTCCCTTTCTCCAGGCCAGCTGCGTCATGCGTCAGTCCTTCAGTTGAGCGACATATGACAACCTGGTCTCTGAAGCTTTTTAGCATGCAGCACCGATCTTATATCATCCTGATCTTCATGCACGAGAGTGGTCAATTGAAGTATCAAATGTAGGTACAAGTGGAAAAGACACGCAAAATGTAAGATCATCAATACCTTGTGAATGTCTCAAGGTTTGAAATATTGAATTGATATCATGAACTAAACGCATGATGAACATTCAAATGAATACATATTCACATTCCCCCGCATCCCATGCACATCATTTTCCCAAGTATACTTCTTTTCTTCGTATATACACTGACCATGGTTTTTGACACGGAACCGACTTGGGGGGTCTACCATTAGAATCACCTCTCGAAGGCCGCACCCTCCACACTCTTCCTCTCCTCAACACGATCTCATACATTTATCCATCCTTCTCTTTTCATGTCTTTCCCTAGAATCTTGTATGGATTTGATAACCTGAGTTACTCCACACTCACACTCCTCAACACTCTCCCACAATCTCACCGCAACCTACCTCAACGGATCTCTCCTCCCTGCTTCATGCCCTTAGTTGAAAGACCCCACACCCTCACATTGAAGGATGAGAAAGACGAACTAAGACCCATTCACCTTCGTCTCTGCTTTCTCCACACCATCAACATTCATTGATTCTTCTTCCTTCTCCATCAACGCCTTTGCTCGAGCAATAGCATCTGCCTCATTGGCATAATGCCCCTTTCTCATCCTCTTGAACGCTTCCCTATGAGCGATAGCCTCCGGACTCTTATCTTCTTCGTCAGAATCGGTGAATACCTCTCCAGCATTGGCGGCCGTGTTTGCATGTGTGGCTCCGAGAGAGATAGGAGCTTCCAATTCTCCCGACCGGGCCTGTGGGGCAGAGGGTTTAGGTCCAGGGACAGCGGGGACGGCCGGTGAAGTGGAACGTGGACCGGGTCGGATGATTCCTGGATGATTAGGAAGAGAGAAAGATGTAGAACGAGAGGATGTGGAGGAGGAAGAAGAAGGACGACGAGGATGAGACGACGTCGTCGATGGGGTTCCGGGTGCACTGGAATGAGTATTTTTCAATATACCTTTAAGAATATTTCGTTTCATATTGCGATCATACAGCTTGATACCTCGTAAAATGAGGAAAGAGGATAAGAGATCCAGTGAGATAGAGTGTGAAGATGATAGAATGTGGTGGAAGAAATATCAGCTAGGCGGGTAATAGATAGATCAGGAAGATGAAAGGAGGAGGGATTATCTCGGCTTACCTGCTTCGAGGCGTGGATGGAGAACGAGGTGGATGATCTTGTTCCAAATCGAACTTCGGTACATCTACCGTCAGAATCTGTATTCGAACATGATAAAAAAGACTCACCACTGAGTACTACATCATTCAAGGCGTCGTATCGCACGAAAGGCGTTTTAGGCTCGTCAATTTTCCTAAATGGTCAGTCGTTGGTCCTGCGACTGGCCATGGTGAAGAGGATGACGACACTCACATTCTTTGTTCTTCTTGCTTTTCAATTTCTTGTAGAGCAATCATCTCTTCATCCCATGTGAGACTGTATGTGAATTAGTTCCTCCAATCACTCCACTCTGACATCTGGCATCCAGTGGTATCTTGATGGTATAATATTTGATGATGCGTGAATGCATCGTTGCCTGAACAAAGACTACTATCGGAGTGAGAGGGGGAATGACGAGATGATGAAAGAAGAAACGTACTGATCTTGGTTCCTCTCGCTCCCACCTTGTCTCTCATCACCTGTCAATGGCCCGCTCGGACGCCTGACGGCATTTTTGAGAATACCTTTAGCGGGAGGAGGTCGAGAAGAGCTTGGGGTATGCATGATTGGACTGTCTAACGCTTCGGACATATCATCGGAACCCTTTCGTGGGGCAGAGGCAGAAGGAGGGATCTCGATATGAGCCGGATGGGCGTGGGTGGCAGAGTAAGGAAGTTTAGACATGATTCAGGGGTAGGTTGTGGAGCTTGTAAGAAGGCTTTGTCGGATACGCTTCAAGAGATATGAAGAGGCAAGACGAGAAGGTTATAGTCACCGACTTCAAGATATATATATGTATTCCCGTTGAGAAGTATGAGAGGTGTGAGAAGAAGGGTACAGTAGTACAGTAGGTGGGTGTGCGTCGCTGCTGTGCTGCAAGAGTGTGTGTTGGATGAGCAAGTGCGCAAGTGCGATGATGACGGTTGGGCATGGATGACGACGAGCCTCCTTCCTTCCCAGCTCCCGGGGAGGTTTTGGGATAAAATAAATGGAATGATAAAAGATAAATTCCAAACAGTCGCGTAAGGTGCCACGTCGACAAGTCCAACGTCGAGTTTTCTAGATGACTCTGTAAAGTCACTCACTTTTGAACGATCCGTCACTTCCTTCTCTTCATCGATTTACCGCCTTGCCTTAGCTACTATTCAGTTGTTGGACGCTTCATAAGTTCTCTACCTCATCATAATGCGCGCTCAGAACGTAGCTGCCGCCGCTGGAACGGGGGCTTTGTTGCTAGCTGCGACTGCCTACGCCGAGGCTGAATTTCAGGTCAGTCGTCTTTCGGTACACTGTTTCTCTCACGTCACCTTACCCTTCTGTACTCTCAACCGCCTCCTGAACATGACGTTGTCTCATGATCGAAGTAGCCCAGCCTGGCTCAGTAGCATCCTGCTTGGCACGCACGCCATATCTTCCTCAAGTGCAGCTCTCTCTGCTTACTCAAATGCCCCCCCCCCCCCCCCCCACCACTCCTTTGTCCGAGGTGCCAAGTGACTCCCTTCTCCCCCTGAACACCCTGCTGACGAACAGGCGTCCACCTTACATCCACCCTTCATCGATCAGTTCATAGACCCCATTGTCGAATCCAAATGGACAGTCTCACGTGCCACCAAGCAGACACCTGTCGGCGACGAGACCTTCTCCTATGTCGGGATATGGACAATCGAGGAGGCTGAGGTCTACCCTGGGATCAAGGGTGACATGGGGCTTGTCATGAGTGAGATCTTTGTTCGTTAAGGCCGACCTACGCTAACGCAAGACAGAATCCAAAGCAGCCCACCACGCTATTTCATCACTCTTTCCCGAACCGATTGACCCCAAGGGTAAACCTCTCGTGGTGCAATATGAAGTGAAGATGCAAAAAGGACTGGATTGCGGGGGTGCCTACATCAAACTGCTGACTGAAGGAGAAGATGGTCAAGGTCTCCGAGCTGGTCAGGATTACACAGACAAAGTTAGTCGAACAGGTTCATCAGGTACAGTCTGACGGCTGACGAATAGACTCCTTTCACAATCATGTTTGGTCCGGACAAGTGTGGTTCTACCAACAAGGTTCACTTCATCTTCCGTCACCGAAATCCGATCACGGGCGAGTGGGAGGAGAAACACCTGACAAATCCACCTCAACCGAAGATTGTCAAAACGTCCACTCTATACACTCTGATCACGAAGTAGGTCATCCTCATCAGATCCCAGCTGGTAGCTGACCCACTTCAGACCCGATCAGACTTTCGAAATCCTTATAAACGACGAATCTGTACGAACTGGATCTTTGTTGGAAGACTTTGATCCCCCTGTCAACCCTCCTGCCGAGATAGGTGAGCATCAAGATGGCGGCACGTCTTCAGGACTGACAAGACAGATGACCCTGACGACTTCAAGCCTGAAAGCTGGGTTGACATCTCAGAGATCGATGACGAGACTGCGACCAAGGTCAGTTTGGTGTAGTTTGCAAGCGTTTCAGACTGAGCTGATGTGACAGCCTGATGATTGGGACGAAGATGCTCCCCTCATGATCACGGACACAGTCGCCGTCAAGCCCGAAGATTGGCTGGAGGATGAACCGGAGACTATACCAGATCCAGAAGCGGAAAAGCCCGAAGAATGGGATGTGAGTTGCTCCTTGCTTATGAAAGAGTCATGATTGACACGCAGGACGAGGAAGATGGCGATTGGATCCCTCCCATGATTCCCAACCCAAAATGTGAGGAGGCTGCTGGCTGTGGTGCTTGGAGTCAGCCCAAGATCAAAAATCCTGCATACAAAGTTGGTCCTGTTTCTCCCACCTGACTTTAGCTGACGTGTGTAGGGCAAATGGACCGTACCAAAGATTCCCAACCCCGCGTATAAGGGTCCTTGGGCTCCACGTAAAGTTCTCAACCCGGCTTACTTCGAGGACAAGACTCCTGCGGACTTCACCAAGATTGCAGGTATCGGAATCGAGCTTTGGACCATGACCGAAGATATCATGTGTGAGTAGTCATCTACTGCCTTCTTTGTAGTAGCTTTTGCCGATTTGGCCCCTCGGAGTGTCCACCGCAGATTACGTCGCGGTCTGGATGGGGGAGGAGGACGCGTCAGCTGACAGTCAGTTGACAACATCTACATCAGTCATGATCCCGAAGAAGCCAAAGCATTCGCCAAGGAGACCTTCCACGTTAAAAAGCCCATCGAGAAGGAAGCAGAGGGTTCGGCCGAGGACGAGGATGAGGAACCTTCCACCCTTCTGGACAAGATCAGATTGAAGATTTATGAGTTTATCCGTGCGTCTTGTCAATCCCCTCCATCCTTTCATTATCGGCATTCACACCCTCGACTTGAGGGATTTGGCTGATGATCAGACCTCTGTGGCTTTGATGTCTTACAAGCTGTCAAACAAATGCCCGAAGTGGCTGCCGGTCTTGCTGCCGCATTGTTCACCGTCCTCGGTATGCTCGCTGCTCTCTTTGGTTTGATCGGGTCCAAACCTGTGGTATGTTCTCTGATCTTTCAGTGGATCTTGACTAATGATCAGGCGCAGAAAGTACCTTCTGTCAAAACTACAAAGATCAAGCCTGTTGAAGCCGCTCCAGCGACTGTGGATGGCGAGGATGAGAAGGAATCCGTCGCCGTTGCCGGAGAAGAGAAGGTAGAGGAGACCACAGTGAAGAAGAGGACGACCAGATCGGCGAAAGATTGATCACGGCTGTGGGGACGTATGAAGTGGAAGAGGACATGAAGGAGGGTAGTTGTGGGTAGTCAATTCGAAAAAAAAAATGCATCTGTCTCTATTTCGCAGGATACTTCGTCCGCTTTGGTACATGCTCGAATTGATTTTTGAGATATGGGATGAGCGCACAAGACATCATTTGTGAATACACCATATAACACCCCCTTCCACTACTAACCACATGTGCACCGGACAGATCACTAGACTGACAGGAAACCAACCCCAATAAGTACCAGCTCCTTGCTGTATGTATGGCAAGACAAGAGGATCCATCCCATTCCCCTAAGTCTCAGGACATACAAGCCAAGCATCAGGTGATGGGAAAAGAGAGAATATATTCTTGCACCCAACATGAAAACCGGAACGGCACAGAACCAATGTGGCGGGGAAAGGGTTCGGGTTCCGGTTTCTATGTTAGTTGCCAGTAAGACGAAGGTGAGCGGAAGTATTCAAGGAATCGGTACATCCTGAGGGGGGATGGTATAGTATGGTGAAGGATCCCGTCCAGAGGGATTATGATAAACAGCTTTAACATGTGGCTGAGACGATTGGGTCGACAGTCCATTATGTAATGAAGATGATATCTGGAGTAGACCATGTGACATTGATCTTTCTCCGTTTGGTATAGATTTCGATGAAAACTGACCATGCACCATGTTCTGGGGTATAAACATTTGCCGAGGATTGTGAGATCTGAAAACTTGATTCTGATTCTGATTCGGATACGAAATGAAATTTTCTGGTTGAACTTGATACCCTCCATATGGGTTTTGTAGTTGAACTTGTAACCCTCCATGTGGGTTTTGATATTGATGACATTGAGTGTAAACCGGGAATGGCTGTAATGGATATACTGAGTTTTGAACTTTACAATGATTTGAATCATGTGATTGTTGTCCACTAGGAAGTCCGAGTGGACCAATCTCTAGTCCATGTCTAATGGGAGAAGGTACAGTCCGTGTGTTCGATGATTGCGAGAAAACATGATGAGGCATATATTCAGATGAAGACGAAGTACTCATATCTTTGAAATGTAGATTATCATCATGTTGATACTGGTTATTGAGATTTCGTAATTCCATCAAACGAATTTTCTCTTGTTCGGTTTGAACTATTTGATGAAAATGTTTACTGTTTCTTGAATTTCGATGACGCCTTGGTTTATCCCAAAGACCTCTCATACTCTCCATTGGAACGAAAGTTGGTATACTGGGAACGTGGGTGAAGGTACTTGGTATGATAAACTGATTTGGTTGAATAGGTTGATTCATATCCCTGGGTTGATAGATACCCACGGGCTGATTGATACCCATAGATTGTTTTATTACCCAAGGTTGATTGATACCCACAGGTTGATTATTACCCATAGGTTGATTTATCCCCCAAGGTTGATTATTACCCATAGGTCGATTTATCCCCCAAGGTTGATTGGTACCGATAGGTTGACTTGTCCCCCAAGGTAGGTTATTACCCATTGGTTGACAAATACCCATAGGTTGATTCATACCCCTAGGTTGATTAAGGCCCATAGGTTGATTAATAACCCTAGGTTGGTTATCACCCATATGTTGATTGATACCACTGGGTTGATTATTACCCCAAGGCAGATTAACACCCCAAGGTAGGGTATTACCCCAAGGTTGATTATTACCTATAGGTTGACTATTGTCATGATTGGAAAGTGGGAACATAAAACCTGTCGAGGAACCTGGATGATCCAACTCTCTCAATGAATCAGGTTTATTCCACCTAGATCCCATTGTCTGGTTTATCGAGGCACGAGTATTTAACAAGTTTGATATGGGTGAAAAAGGACTCGTGAGAAGTCGAAATTGTGTTGATGAACTTGATGGAAATGGTTGATTGTAAGAAACGAGTTTTGAAGAGGGAAATGTGTTGAATGAATAAAAGGATATAATTTTAGGGTCAATACTTCCTCGAATGTGGAAGTTATGATATGGGATTGGTTCAGATAAAAGTTTCATATTTGTTGTTCGAAATGATTCATTCGGTGAGAATTGAACTAAAGTACGTAGAGATTGATTGGAGGTCATTTCTGATGAATCACCGAAAGATCTTGAAGGTTGTATTGGATGGAAGGTGTTTGTGTTTGTGTTCGTGTTCATATTCATGTTCGTGTTCATATTCATGTTAGTGTTCATGTTCACATTCGTGTTCATATTCTTATTCATTTTCGTGTCCGTGTTCGTGTTCATGTTTGTGTTCATGTTTGTGTTCATGTTCGTGTTCATATTCGTATTCATGTTCGTGTTCATGTTCGTGTTCATGTTCGTGTTCATGTTCGTGTTCATGTTCGTGTGCGTTTTGGTATTCATATTGGTGTAAGAAGTGATACCGGGGTGTACAGGGACAGTAGGACCCATGAATCCAAACAAACTCCCTGGGAAAGGTTTGGTAGAAATTGTTTGAACAGGTTTTTTATCGTAAGATAAAAATCTGGTTACTGATTTCTGAATACCTTCAACATCTAAATCTTTCATCCTAGGTTCAATGGTAAAACCTTCTCCTTCTACTGCTTTTAACCAAGTATGAACAAAATCATCATTTTCTCCCCGAATCTCTGCCCATTTCAATTCCGTATATTCCTCCTCTTCGGTATCTTCGTGATCTGTCCACTGAGAAAAATCACTTTCATAACCTTGGATTTCGGATGGATCATCGTTCTCTGCATGTTCCCATTCATCGCTGCTGGATGATAATGGATTTCGAGAAGGAGTTCGTGTTCCATTTTCAGACATTAGAAGTTCCTCATGTTGAGAATTTTCCTTACCTTTGGACAGAATTTTGTTTGATTTCGATTTCGACCCATTGGATTTTCCCTCCTTCCTAGGACAATTTTGATCTTTTTCGTTGATAGATGAACTTTGGGATTTCGATCGATTATCATGATGGGTATTTGATTGCATTGCGAGTGGTACATCATTGAATGTCTCTTCACTGTCGGATGAAACCTCTTGTTTATTAAGGAGTTGTTCAATGTTGGATTTATAAGGTTTCAATATATTCCAAATTGAAGGAATAAACAAATCATCTAGAAATTGAATCACAATAATTCCCTCTTTATGACGATTTCTAGTTGTACACGTTGAGAGATGAAGAGCACCGATGTAGGCTTTGAAAAGTTTGGCAGAATGAGAAATAGGAATTGAACCGGAATCAGTCGGATTGGTATGGTCAAAAAGACGATAAGAGAGAGCGAGAAATCCCAGAGTTGTTGGATTTGTAAGTGCTTGTGAGATTCTCTAGTGGTGAGTGAGGACTCTGAATAAAGTTCTTAGTTTTAATGACAATATGTCTTGAAACTTCTCCTCAGAACAAGACTGGAGAGGATCCTATATGATTTCTCCTTCGGAACGTTCTGCCAGGCTCTATATCGGTTCCATCTGAGTTGATGAAGGGAAGAACCAACAGGGGAGCACGGGTCACATAGATACGGACAAAGGAAACGATGGGAAGAAAGAATCGATTTTGTGTGGATACCACAATCATATGTCAATGATGAACGGAAGGGAGTGTTCTGAACGGAGATACTCACAGACGTGTCATCTTGGTCCAAACCGAGTTTTCCAGACACCCTCGATAATCCACGATCGATCGCATAACCCCCCAGTTTCAAAGATTCATACCATAACTTCTTACACTGTCCTAGCTTTGTAAAGAAGGACGGAATGAGAGTTGGTAGAGGAGGTAAGTTCCGATAATCGAAAGGCTCCAGAGGAACGCGAGGCCACTTTAACGGAGGATTATCGATATCTTGTGGATGTTGAGGTTGTCGCAATCGAACTCGGCCATTGGCCTGGGTGGATTGAAGAGGGGCGGTGTTGATGACTTCCTGACGAGGGGTAAACATACCCAAATATGTACACAAAGAAGATGTGAGAGAGGAGGGACTGTAATATTTGAAAAAAGTATAGGAGAGAAGGGAACAAAGGGGACGTAGGAGAGGATAGAGAGAAAGACATTAACAAACGGAGACAAGAGAGGAAAGAGTAAAAGTGGAATGTGATGAAAAGATTACTGATTACGATGACCTTTCGGACTGTGTCAGTGACGGCATTTTACGTCAGACGGAGGCCACATGTCAGCGAAGGGTGAGAAGGAAGGGGAAAGAAACGCAAAAATGCATACAGATGATGTCAGTCTAATCGAACGTGATTTTAGTCGGTGGTGGAGCATTACCGATGTCTTTGTAAAAAGCACCATAAGAGCCGTGTTCTAATCATCAGTCAAGTTTCTCCCCACGTACCACACACTCTTCCTCATCCAGCATGTCAGACCGCCTGGACCGGAAGTCATGGTCAAGAGGCAGGACGAGAGGACACGACTCACCCTTCTTCTTTATTGTCGAAGGAAACCTATCCATCTCTTTGGGGATCTCCGCCCCGACATCCCTCAAGACACGCATGAATTCCCCTGCCAAGGCCTTTTCATGCGCTTCGCCAGTGAAGAATGTCACTGCCTTGCCAGATTTGCCAGCTCGTCCTGTCCTACCACATCGATGAACGAAGTCCTCTGATTCATTAGTGTTTCTTCTCTCGCACAAGACTGCTGGACGATTTGGAACACCATAGACATGACAACCGCGTAGCGTGAGCTGGAACAGTGCGCGGCGACACCAAGAGGGACGACGACGAAGGGAGATTGCAGCACTCACCAGTCGTCAAAGGGAAAGTCACATTCAACACTAATCCCACATCGGGAATATCGAGCCCTCTAGCAGCCACGTCCGTAGCCACCAAGATTTCTACTTTTCCCTCTTTGAACTTATCAAGCGCCTTGAATCGTGCGTCCTGACCCATATCTCCGTGCAAAGCACCTACGTTGTAGCCGTTACGTCGGAGGGTGGATTCCAATCTTTGAGCTTCTTTTTTGTACAAGGCAAATACAAGTATACGAGTGGGAGCTTTGAGGGTTGAAGGATGTGCCTTTAGATGAGCACGGAGGTGGTGTAACATCCGAGCGCTATGTATCAGTCGAGGAGCTAGCCTCTCTGATAAAAATGAATGACTGACTCTTTCTGGAAACCATTGTCTAAAACTTCCACCACCTGCTCAATACGTTTGTTTGCAGAAAGCTCGTCACTGCCCACCGTGATCCTCAATGGATCTCTTAAGAAGGTGCTAGCAAGGCGACGAACAGATTCTGGCCAAGTGGCAGAGACTTTGATGTCAGCTCCAGCAACTGGTAGTCAACGGCACTCACACATGACAGTCTGTCTGTGGGCGTTCTCAGGACAATGAGCAATGATCCGACGGATATCATTTTCGAAACCTTGATCTAGCATCCGATCTGCTTCGTCAAGCACGAGATAAGTCACCCTGGAGTAGATCAGCCATTTCCCTCAATCGAGGTGATGAAAAACGTACCCTGAGAAGTCCAGCTCCTTCGAATCGGCGAGGTCGAGTACTCTACCAGGAGTACCAACGACTATTTTCGTGGTCTTCTTGCCCAGTTCTCGAAGTTGATCATCCTTGCCCACTCCACCAAACAAACAGACACTGCCCACGCCCGCCTTCTCGCCCAAAGCCAGAAGGGTGGTATGTGATTGTTGTGCCAACTCCCTGGTTGGGGCGAGAACCAACATTTGTACCCGTCCCTTACCCTTCTTACCTTCCTCTGATAACTTGCATAGTTTTTGTAATCCAGGTACTCCAAAAGCCAAAGTCTTTCCAGAACCAGTCTCCGCGATACCTACCACATCCCGTCCTGCCAACAGAGGTGGCCAAGAACACGCTTGGATCGGTGTGGGTTTTGTAAATTGTGAGAGATACGGTCTGAACGACACATCGATTGGAAGATCAGCTATCGAGAGCTGAGGTGGGAAAAGACGAGGTTCGAGAGTGATGGCATGCTCGTTGAGGAAGGCGGTGTGCTCGGTGCTGAAGACGCTAGGGGGCGGTTGTGCGGTGGGAGTAGCGATATTAGACGATGGAGCTGCCGAAGAGGATGCTTCTTGGGCTCTTGCAAGTTTTTTCAGCTGTTTCTTGGATAGAACAGGCTGCTCAACGGTAGTTGTTGAGGAAGCGACAGGAAGTTCGTCCGGAACCTTGAGGTTCGTCTCTACGGAATGCTTACTCTTTTTCTTCTTCTTCTTTTCTTCACTTCCATTGGTCGCAGCTGAGTGAGCTTTTGTATCCCGTCCTCCAGCTTCTCTTCCGAAGTGTGATCACCACGATCTCTCTTCCGCTTCTTGACCTTGCCCTCTGACGCTGGGGCTACAGGTCCGTCTGAGCTGGCGACCACCTTGGCAGTGTCATTAGCAGCGACGGTCGCAGCCGCGGCCTTCTTGGCTTTCTTCTCTGCTTTCCGCCTTCTCCTCTCTTCCTTCTGCTCAGCGGTCAAGACATCAGCGTCTTCTCTCGACATGATGTTGTATATGTTGTGACTTGTGAAAGGCAGGTTTTCTGACCGTTGAAGATCTTTGCAACTTTTTCGACAGGCGGCGATCGCCGGTCTACCCACGTGTCAGTTTTCCTGAATTTTCACTTGTGGCGGTTGACTGGATCCCCCTGACGCGTTACTTCACTTTTGAAGCTCTTTCCTCTTCCTCTCACTCCATCTCACCCCACCCCACTACGACTGCCCAAACCCACGGTCTTCTCGAAAGTGACCGTGTATACCTCTACCATCTGATACAGTCTTCAGGTGTGGAACCGAAGATGCCACCCCGACGAAGAGCACCTCGAGCTTCTCTTCCCACTCCTGCCCATTCAAAACGGGGGGATGGCGATGACGTATCAGCCGCATCGGCGGCATCGACTCCAGTGACTCGCTCAAGGCGTAAGACGATGAGTGACGGCGGAGGCCTTCAGACTCCTGCTAGTCTGACCGATACAGAAGAAGTTCAAGTTCAAGTCAAGCAAGAGACGGTTAGTAGACCACAGACACGGGGCAAGAAGAGAAAAGGTGAGTCGGAGTGATCGATCGGAATGATTCTCTTACGTATCGTGTCCCGGGTCGCTCAGTTTTGACGTTGGGTGGTCTCTCAGGCGCAGCTTCTTCTCCTTTGAGTCTTCCAAGCTGACAAGTTTAGTCATCTCCGATGACGAATCTCCGTTTGAGGATACGTCCCTCGTCACTTCCACTGCCCACAAGTACACCCTCGAGGTCGCGATCCCCACCCGACGTTCCAGATTAGGTCAGGTCAAGACGGAGAGCAACGATAATATGACTCTCGGTTCCCCTCCAAGCAAGAGACGGCGGACAGAAAATGGGCTTATGAAGGAAGAGGCTATGGTCAATGTCGAAACGGTCGGAGCTTCGTCTTCCCGACAACAGCAGTCTCAGAGAAAGGCCGAAACAGAAGATGAAACCGACCCACAGCAACCCTTCACTATCGGAAAACATGCTGCCGTCAAAAGAGCTCCGCCCGATGCGCTTCTCTTGGACGAAGAAAAGCCAAACGGAAGGAAGAGCCGCGCCAAGGGCAAAGCAAAGCAAGTAGCGCAAAGCGAAGCAGACACAAACAGCCTTCTAGAATACGCAATGAACAGCGACCAAGAGGAGGAGCAGTTTCAGAAAGCTCTTGCCATCTCGACAATGACCGATACTGGCGTGGTGAATGCGATCTCCGGCAGCTCCATGTCTGACCCTGCCTCACAGAAGAAAAAGACTTTAAGGGGCACCAAGAAATTCGAGCACATCAAGGCTGCTCTCAAGGGTCGTGCCAAGCGTCAGTGTATTGATTTTTCTTTGGGATATTGGCTGACTGGCAGAGCAATTAGTCGGAGAAGGTTCACCTTCCTCCGCCAACATGGGCTTGGACACTCCGGTAGACAGTGCTTCTTTCGATGATGGGTCGGCGTTCGATCTGGACGAGGACGATCTGTCTTTTGATGAAGATCCGCTGTCCTCTGACCTTTCAGCACCAGAGTCAGACTTTGAAGAGCCGGTGAGGGCGACTTTCAAAGGCAAGCGTCCCCTTGCCAAGTCTAAGTCTAAAGGCAAGGGTAAACAGAAGAAAACGTTGAAAGCAAAGGGAAAGTCTAAAGCAATGAACATCACGGATGATGTCGACCCCGACGAGGACGCGGACTTCAATATGTCCGAGGCCGACGACGAAGAAGAGACTGTCATTCGGAGACATTTCGAAGGAACCGGGGAAGAATATGAACAGCGTTTGGCGCAAGAGAAGCTTCAGCGAGCCATCAAGAAGGAAGAGCGGGAACTCAAGGCCAAATTGAAACGAAAGCTCACCAACGGCGAGCGCAACTACATTCGTCTCACAAAGGTAGGTTGACGCCCATTTGTAGCTGAGAGACAACTGACATGTGCAGCATCATCCTGACTTGATCGGTATTTGGGGGAACATCGAGGCCAACCTGGAACCGGTCAAACCGGTCGCAATGGAGGCTCATCCGTCACTCAAGCTTACATTGCTCCCATTCCAGAAGGAAAGTTTGTGTTGGATGAAGAAGCAAGAAGAGGGACCTTGGAAAGGCGGGATGTTGGCCGATGAGATGGGTATGGGCAAGACGTCAGTGATACTCAGCTTTCTTAGTAGTGCTGACGAGTCAGCATTCAAACGATTGCATTGTTACTGTCCGAACCACGGAGAAAGCCTAGTCTCGTCGTCGCTCCCGTGGTGGCTCTCATGCAGTGGAAACATGAGATTGAGACCCACGCAGAGGGATTTTCTGTCACTTTGTGGCATGGCTCAGGTAGGATAAAGGCTGCCGAGCTGAAGAAATTCGATGTGGTATGCCAGCCAACAGGTAGGTGTTTGCTGCGCTGACAGGACAGGTTCTTGTGTCTTACGGAACTCTCGAGGCCTCTTTCCGTCGCCAGCAGCGAGGATTCAAGAAGAATAACCTTCTCATCAAGGAGAAAAGTCCAATGCACGAATTTGAATGGCATCGGTGAGTCTGAACGTTTCAAACTCTTTGCCGGAAGTTAAAGGTCAAGTGTGATACTGGATGAAGCGCATAACATCAAAGAACGATCAACCAATGCTGCAAAAGCTGCTTTTGCCCTTCAAGCCAAGTATAGATGGTGTCTCTCCGGGACACCGTTGCAAAATAGGGTCGGGGAGCTTTACTCTTTGGTCAGGTTCCTAGGTGCCGAACCATTCAGGTGAGTGAACTTTGCTTAGACGAATGTCCGACTGAACTATAGTAATTACTTCTGTAAGAAGTGTGATTGTAAATCTCTGCATTGGCAGGTAAGTCAATCAATTCATCGTGATAATGTCACTGACATGCAGTTTTCCGACAGGAGACACTGCGACGATTGCGGTCATAAGCCTATGGACCATGTTTGTTTCTGGAACACCGAGGTGAGATAATCATCTTCGATTCCAGTGGATATAAACAGATTGAGGTGGCCACTGACATCGCAAGATTCTCACTCCGATCGCCCGATACGGTATTGAAGCTGGTAATCCAGGACATACGGCTTTCAAAAAGCTCAAAATACTTCTTGATCGTATGATGTTACGTCGTACCAAGCTCGAACGCGCCGACGATCTTGGTCTTCCTCCGCGTACGATTGTCGTTCGACGAGATTACTTCTCTCCTGCTGAAAAGGAGCTTTATGCCAGTCTTTTCACCAATGCCAGACGACAATTTTCGACATACGTAGATTCCGGTACTGTTCTGAATAGTCAGTCTGCACAATCACCCTTACAGTATCTGAACCGAGTGTGACTGACGAAAAGATTACTCCAACATTTTCTCCCTCATTACCAGAAGTAAGTTTATGTCTCTCATATCAAGATTTTGTACTCATGACAGTGCGTCAAATGGCTTGTCACCCTGATCTGGTGCTCAGAAACAAAAAGGCTGGAGCTGCTCATGATGCTACAGAGGGTACGGTGTGCAGACTTTGCAACGACACGGTGAGTCAGTTAGCTGGACAAAACTTCCAGTGGAAAGCTGAATATTCAGGCCGAAGACGCTATCGTTTCCGCTTGTAAACACGTGTTCGACCGGGAATGTATCAGACAATATCTTGAGATCCAGCAGCTTCGAGGACGACGTGTGCGTCATTTCTTCCAACCGGACTATCATGCTTCAAGACAAATGCTCATTTCTAGCCGGAATGTCCAGTATGTCACATCGAAATTTCCATTGACCTGGAAGCGGAGGCAATCGACTTGAGCGAAGGCACTACCAAGGCCAGGCAAGGTATCCTCAGTCGATTGAACCTCGGTGTGAGCTTCATATCCCTCTACAACTTCCTTGTTGACGGTTCAGAATTGGCGGTCTTCTAGCAAACTCGAAGCCCTGGTCGAGGAACTGGAGAAACTTCGAGGCCAAGACTGCACTATCAAATCTCTTGTTTTGTAAGTAGGCAATTCAGTTATACCGATTCTGTTGTGCTAATGTTGTAGCTCGCAATTTGTTTCTTTCCTCGATCTGATCGCTTTCCGTCTTCAGCGAGCCGGCTTCAACGTGAGTGATTATTCGTTGTATGGGTTGTTGTTGACAAATAGATTTGTCGACTGGAAGGTGGTATGACCCCTCAACAAAGGGATGCTACCATTCAACATTTTATGAACAATCCTCAAGTCACAGTGTTCCTCATATCCCTCAAAGCGGGTGGCGTGGCCTTGGTAGGTGCTCATCCTATCCGTATTTCCCCTTCAGGTCCCCCGACACGATCGTAAAGAGGTCTTCTTCACCGACACGTTCATGGAGATACTATGACTGACTCTCAGAACTTGACTGAAGCATCCATGGTGTTCATGATGGATTCATGGTGGAATCCTTCGGTCGAGTATCAAGCCATGGACCGCATTCATCGTCTGGGTCAACGACGACCTGTCAAAGTTATTAAACTCGTAATCGAAGATAGCATAGAGGATCAGATTGTTCAATTGCAGCATAAGAAATTAGCTATGACTGAAGCTGCTTTGTCTACGGATCCGGATTCCGCCCTGGGTAAATTGACCGAAGAGGATGTGAGTGGCTTTTTCCCCCTTCTTCAATTCATCCGATTTCCTTCTTCGCTACCAACTCTTGCTTTCTTACTGATACTCCTATCTGGCTATTTCGCCGATCATGAATCGTCTATGTTCGCGTATCATCTGGGAACGGGAATGAAGGATGTCGCTGACAACCAGCTCGGATTCCTCTTCAAGATGTAAATCTATCAGTCAAAGACCGACACCAAGTATATTTATCTCATGTTTGAATATGAAACGATACATTATGTATCTGTTGACCCTCATGTATCTCATGTCATGTCAAAGCCGTCGGGCACAGTGGTCATCATCTAACTCTTTCTGTGACACTTGGGAACGATGAACAATAAGCCTTTTTTAACTTTGCAACGAAACGCGGATTCAAACCGGTCCGTCTCACTGCCGGTCCACCTAAGTACCTCACTTTGAGCACCACCCACCACATCTCTCTTCTCTTTGCTTTAACATCACTCATCCTTATTGTTCTACCTCATCATTTGGTGCCTGGTACACTACGTACCAAACATTACATTCCACAACTTCTGACCTCCCGGTTTATACCGTGAATATCTACATCAAAGTCGCACAGACCTTTTCCCCTTCTTTCACATTATCTCTCATTTCAACCCCCTTCACATTCCTTCCTTTTCTTGACCATATTCTCGTTATCCCAACTTGGATCCTGTAGGATAAAGTGAGTCTTCTTAGTTGATCAAATCAGGTCTGCGAACTCATTGCCAGCTGAATTCGACACTACACATTCCATATCATCCCCATTCTCTTCGATCATACTTCCTCTTTCCCCGACAAGTTCTCCGCGATTATAGACATCAAGAGACAATTTAGTTGAAGAGCTCAAAGGTTAGAATATACAGAAGGAAACGAAAACATAATGTCAGAAGTTCAAACTTATTCTGGTCCTTCAACTCCAATCGATTTCACACCTGAACCTCCGGCCGACATACCGAATTCGACAGATGTCAAAGTCATGTTTCGTGATATCACACCTGATTATGAAGTTTTGGAAGTTATAGGTGAAGGTGCTTATGGTGTTGTTGTGTTAGTTCTCTGTCTCTCTCTTCTTCTTTCCAATTTGTCCTCTCTCTTTTCGTGTGATACATACTTTGAATGGACGATAGGAAGAGTAAGGGGTGATGTGTCCATTCCTTGGGAATCCACTTAGGTCCTTTGGCTTTTTCATCACATCATCACAGTCGTGATTACCAGACAACTTTGCCTGCTTTGCGGACGGGGGAAAGATCAACGATCGCGAGCGACCCGTTCTGTTTTTTTTATGGTTGGAATTGGCTCTTTCCCACATTCTTATAGTCCGGACCTTATCGATCTTTTCCCACACGATATTACTCATACGAAGTGATATATAATCAGAGGGACATTATTTATTCACAGAATGCGGTTGGTGAAGTGAAGGAAGAGGGATTGGATAGAAGATGAACTAACGAGTAGATCTGCTCAACATCGACAATTTGGTACTAAAGTAGCTATCAAAAGAATCAACCCTTTTGATCATTCCATGTTTTGTCAGAGGACGTTGAGAGAAATAAAGTTGTTGAAACATTTTGAGTAAGTTGGTCATCTTCCCTTGCCTTCTTTTCCACTTTGCACGTTGTCGTTCGTGTGCCCCCACTTATTTTGATTGTCAGATTAGGATAGTAGATAAAATCGCGATAAATTACTCATATCAGACATGAAAATATCATCAGCATCATGGATATTCATCGACCATACAGTCTTGATACGTTCAACGAGGTATACCTCGTCCAGGTCAGCTATCTCTTGGTAAGAAGAAAGTCAGAGCTGACAAAATAGGAATTGATGGAAACGGATTTGTCAGTCTCTTTTCCTTGTCTTTGGTCCGTGCTGATTCGATAGGCACCGGGTGATCCGGACTCAAGAGCTTTCCGACGATCATTGTCAATACTTTCTCTATCAAGTCAGTCTGTAGATCTTGTTTTCAGTCTTGATTATTGACTGTTCCAGACTATACGTGGACTCAAAGCTATCCACACTGCCGGTGTACTTCACAGAGATCTCAAACCGAGCAATTTACTCCTCAATGCGAATTGTGATTTGAAGGTCAGCTTTCTGAATTTGGTATGAGAATGTCGCTCACTACGGAGATTTGCGACTTTGGTTTAGCTCGGTCGGCGGCTGCTGACCCACCCAATGCAGGTCCTGGAGGTGGGAATGGATTTATGACTGAATATGTCGCAACTCGATGGTATCGTGCTCCAGAGGTCATGCTATGTACGTAAAACTGTTTCTAGTATGGATCTGTAGGTTGACGATGAAGCATTCCAAGAATATAGCAAGGCTATTGATATGTGGAGTGTGGGATGTATACTTGCTGAGATGTGTGAGTTCGAGTTGGTGCTTTTCTTAGTAGGAAGCTGATTTGTAGTGAATGCAGCGCCCATCTTTCCCGGTAGAGGTGAGTACACGTTATTCACGAGGGTGACTGTGCTAATTACAGATTATCATCATCGTCAGTTCTCACGAATTGTCTATTGCATCTGACTTATGACCAGAATTGGAGTTGATACTGGATGTTTTGGGCACACCATCCGTGAGCCACTCCATCCTGCTCTATTAGATCATTAGACTGACCTTTCAGATGGCAGATATGGATGAGATTACGGCTCAGAGATCAAAGTGAGTCTATCAAGTCAGTCACAATGCTATTCTGACGCTGACAACACCCAGAGACTATCTTGTGAGTCATGCAAATCACAGTCGACTAAGCTCATGCAGAAGATGGGAATTCCCTTTCAGCGAAAACAAGATCTGAGAGCTATCGTCCCAAACGCTACGAAAAAAGGTCTCGATCTTCTTCGACGTACTCTTACGTGAGTTTCCTGCTATTTCTAAACTGTCGATATTAATATCAGTTTCTCCCCAAGTAAACGCATAACAGTGGAAGAAGCTCTATCTCACCCCTACCTCGAGGTAAGTCATCTCTTTCTTGACATTGACGCTGCTTATCTGAAGCCTTACCACGATCCCAACGACGAACCATCCGCTCCTCTCATCAAAGCCGAGTTCTTCGAGTTCGAGTATGGCCCAGCTAAGAAGGACAGGAAGTTGTTAAAACGTACGCGTCTCAAGCTTAAAAAGCACCATGGTTGAACTGATCATCAGGATTGATATACGAGGAAATCATGAACTCGCCCCCTTCACGGTTGGTAGATCTTCCAAAATAATTAGTGTAGGAGAGAGATTGATGGACAGGATATGATAGTTACATATGACATCAGATATTGTATCATTTGACCGATTCGTATACACAGTGAGACATGCGACCCGTTTTTACATCTGGTGGGGTCCCATGCTGGTTTGTGTTCCTGAATCGGATGATTGCTCACTTCCACTAACCAGCTCAAGCTGAATCTTCACCAGACTTTCTACCCATCTTTGATGTTGCCTTGACAGGAGGGGATTACCATATATTCTGAAACCCCCTGACCGGGCCGCCTACTGTTTTGTCTTGCAAAACCGTGTTTGATTGTGGCCAGATTGAGCGCATGCGGTCCTCATCTAGAGCACGGGAATTGTTTGCAACCTCACTCCTTCTTTGATCTGATGATTGGGAATCTTCCGGGGGTGATAGATAATGAGTGCCAGCCGGAGTCTGGGCCAGACAATACCGGTGAACATAAGCCACTTTCTCTACCTGTTCTCCCCCCGGTAGAGGACTTAACATCATGTCTGAAGAAGGACTGGGAACCACAGGGTGGGAGTAGGGGAATGATGTTTGTACCAGTTGGCTCAATATGTAGACCTGTTCTTCCATCTCAATAGGCTTATGACAACTTATACAACTGATATGACATCCATCCTCCTGTTCCTTTGAGCGTGGCTGGGATACTTCCACAGTATCCCTCAAGCGACCGTCTTGGTTGGCCCATTCACTGATAGCTTTCAGCCTGGAAGTGGCAAGAAGTGTCAGGAGACGACTGCTTGTACCGTTCTCCGTGGCTTCTGGGCTTGTATGTAGATGAAGAAGTGGGACGGGGGTTGAGGAAGTGAGCGTAGGATCCGAGCCGTCGAAGTGGTGTGATGAGGTTGAAAGTGAGTGGTTTGAAAGGGCGGATAGAGGTGGAGAGCTTGGACGTGGGCCATGGTCGTCGATGGTAGTTGATGTTAACGCTTATAATTAGATGATAATACAGAGGGGAAAAAGAGCATGCATCAATTCTACATGTCTCTATACTTATCACATTCCACTCACACGCATAAAACCAGAGACGATCGAATAAAGTTCAGAGGATAAGTTGAACGGAGAAATATTCGACGGAAGGGGTAATTCTAACGGCGGTTCGGCCGTCCCGGCCCGATTCTATCGGCTAACACTCCCCCACGGGACAATGCACGACTCTGCAGTAGTCCCGGACGATTTATCGATGGCGACGGCGAGGTTTGTGATGATGTAGAAGGTAGTAATGATGAAATATTGAGTGTTATGTGTGTGGTAGTAGTGGTAGGTGAAATCGTGAAATGAATTTCTGTGGGGCCCCCCGCGGGGCTCCGCTCTGACACGTGGCTACCACTCACTACTGACGACTGACTCTTCTCTATCTTTCCTTTTACTTCATCACTTTTACCTCCAATTGACGGTATGTCCACCTTTCGTCTTTCTCCACTTCTATCTCTCATTTGTGACTCTCTGAACTTCCCTTTATCCTGTCTGCTTCTTAAAACTTCAGGTTTGCTAGTAGGATCCCGAGAATCGATGATATTGCTTCGAGTACCAGGCTGACGATATCTATCATTAGTAGCGAAATCATCATGTCCCAAATTTCTCCTGCTGTTCTCGCGACTATCGCTACTCCCTCGGTTCCTGGACCGTCTGATCGTCCTGTCCTTAGGTTGCTCCCCAGCAATCCTCCCGACTGTAAGTTTATTACTGCTCGTCATGTCATGAACTTTATTGAGTTTGAGATCTTTCTCAGAAGGTACAATTTGAACTGGGGATCTTGAAATCGAACCTCGATAAACATTTCCTTTTGCTAGGGAACGCTCTATTGGAAGACGGTGGTACCCATGCGGGGGTACAAGAGATCGTTGATACTGTTGACTCTCTCCACGAAAAGATCGAGGCTGTCCTCGGTGGTTATAAAGTCGCTGGTTACCAGCCCAAGTTCCTGAAATTCGTGGATTTGACGATGGAGGTTGAGTAAAACCTCCACTATGTATCATCTTATCTCTTTTCTTATTTGTTACGGGGTAACAACGAATCGAGGGAACTCTATCGAGTTCGACGGATTAGGATGGAGGAAAGCGGGAGTTGGAGGCAGTGCTGCAGTAGGTAGGGACGGGTTTTCCCCTTTCGAGATTTTCCCCACTGGGTTTGCTCAAAGCGGTTTTTCACCTGTCCGAGTATGTACGTAGACGCTTGCAGCAGGAAGGAGACGAGGACAAAGATAGCCGTAGACAGTATATAGTACAATCAGCAAAGTACCAACTTTGCTGATTCTTCAATATCATTCTTTGGCTACATCGATTGCAGAGGAGACACGATCCATTAGCACCAGAGCCCCTAGATTTCCACGAGACATCCATCGAGTTCGACCCAACCTGCGACCTAGTCGTCGTGTTTCCAGTACCGTTACATTATTCTTCTCTTTCATCTCTCTAATGACTCTAGGTTCTACCGGTGGTTTTTGACCTATCTTCGAATTACTCACATTCTTAGGTACACCTGAAAATTTTACATTTTGGCTCACGAGAACTTTTCCTTCGGTGGGTTTCTCTGAAGTTCCTTCCACCCACACTTCTCCTTCTGGTACTACTTCTCTCTCTGGTACCACTTCGTTCTCTGTACCACCTGACAGATCTCCTAGATCCTCGAAATCAGAATAATCGTAATCGATGATTTCATCATCATCTAATGTCACGTATACTGAACCAGTGTTTTTCTTCTTCGGTGGTTCTACACGTATCGCTGACATATTCACCGAGTGTACTGGTCCACCTAAAGCTTTCGTAAGTACATCTGCTCTCTGATAGACAGTGCTGACGTATGCTAGTTCAATAACTTTATTACTGACTAGATCTCGAAGAGCATGATGTCGAATATCGATATGTTTTGTCCTCTGGTGAGTACCAGGTTTTCTCGCCAGTGATATCGATCCTTGGTTATCGCAGTTTAATGTAGTAGGATTTAGCTGATCGTAGCCTATCTCCCTCAATAATCCTCTCAACCACTGAGCTTCCTTCGCTGCTTCAGCCATCGCGATGTATTCTGCTTCGACTGTCGACGACGATACTGTAGCTTGTCTTTTTGAACTCCAGGTTATCGGTGAGTTGTTCATCATGAATATCCAACCTGTAGTTGATCGTCGTGTGTCTTTACAACCTGCCCAATCGGCATCAACCCATCCTGCTAGATCGCTAGCCTCGCCACCGAGACGAATACCATGTAAACGAGTGGACCGAAGGTAGGTAATTACCATTATCCCTTCTTCCCATACTTTCTTCGTCGGTTTAGTGAGGTACCTAGCAAGGTATGAGGCGGCATATGATATGTCGGGTCGAGTACATGTGGCTAACCACTGTAGACATCCTATTAATTCTTGAAATGGTCGAATTTCACTCTCCACCTCCGACATCGATGGATTTTTCGCAGTAAGGGGTAATGGCGTTTTTCGGTCTCGATGTAAGTCGTTTTCTGGAAACTTCTGAACTATCTTATCGATATATGCTGGTTGGTTTAACCATATTGTCTTTTCTTCTCTGTTCCTTGTTACCTTCATACCTAAGATAGTACTTATCTCCCCCAGGTCGGTTATTATCCACCTTTTACCTAGCCCATCGAAAATTTCCTTCGCTTCTTCCTTCGACTTCGTGGCTAATACCAGATCATCGACATAGGCTAGCAGTATTGCTGCTCCCTTTCCTTCGATTTTCCCTTCTGGTCTGTAGTAAAGACCCCAATCTGATTCGATTCTTGAAAAACCTAGGTGAGATAATCCTTCGCCGAGTTCTATCCACCATGTCCTGCCAGATTGCTTTAAACCGTAAAGAGACTCAACTAACTTCAAGGTATTACATCCAGGCTTCGGTTTTATCCCCTTGGGATACTTCATGTAAATTTCTACATCGAGTTTACCGTTTAAATACGCCCCTTCGACATCGGCCTGACGAATTTCGAGATCTTCGGTGGCCGCTATAGTCAAGAGTATTCGTAACGACCCCGATCTACCGACAGGTGCGAATGTCTCTTCATAGTCGACACCTGGTACCTGTGAGAATCCTTGAGCTACTAGTCTGGATTTATACTTTAGTAAGTTTCCTTCTGAATCTGTCTTCACTTTGAATACCCATTTACATCCAATGGCTTTACGGCCCGGTGGTAACACCGTTTCCACCCATGTTTCTTTGAATTCGATGTTAGATATCTCTTTCTCCATGGATTCCAGCCACTTCTCACCATCTGGGCCGTTTACTGCTTCTTCAGGAGAGATAGGATCAATGAGAGAAGTATCACTTTCGATACCTGCGATAGAGGCGAGTGAGACTAACTTATTAGGCTCGCGACCAAAGTCTAGGAACGAGTCTGTTAGGCCTGCAAAACGGTGGGGGGGTCGAATAATTCGTCCGTGACGTGTCGTCAGGATCCCCTCATCCCCATCATTTCTTCCTTCCTCATCATTTCTCTCATTTTCGACGATATCGTTCTCATAGATCCAATTTCCTCCCCAAATGCCCTGTCCTCGTCGTCTTTCAGTAGGTTGTGGGCCTGTATTAGGTGAGTTGTCTCTATCGACATCATTTCCTTGTTCATTATCGATATTTTCCTGTTCGCCACTTTCTGAGCGGTCGTCAGGGAAAATTTCTTCGTTGACGACGGGGTCTAGATCCACTTCGATGGCGTCAAGAGGGGTTTGGATGACATCTGGCGACTCTCTAGTAGCCACCATTCGTCCTGTCGAGCGACGAACGTCTCGTGAGTGTTCGATTCGTCCTGATCCGTCCATTCTAACGATCCAACCGCTCACACCCTCATCTTGACCTAGTATAATGGCTGACGAACCCCTAGGTATCGTGAAGTTCGACTTCAGCCTTATCTCTCTTGGTATCTGAACGAAACATCGTTCACCAAATCTCCACACGCTATCTAAGTTTGTGTCTCTTCCTGTGAGTGATGTCCAGCCTGATTTACCACTGACACCAATCGAGGTTTTCATAATTATAATGGCGG